TGCTTGATGTTCTACTGTCGTAATCAAATGATCAAATCGTTCAGTTGTTTCTTCGCCAACGTCAGTAAATAATTCGGGTCTTTCAGTTACTAGTCGATGAATTTTATCTTTAAATGTTTGTAATGCACGTTTGAGTTTGTGATTTAATTGTACTAATTTGTCCTGTTGTTGTTGCTCATCTGTTTGGCTCTCGTTGTCTATATTTGAAACAGAAGTCGAAGTTTTATTTTGTAATTCTTCAGAAAGAGCTGCATGTTCATTAATCAGATGTTGAATCTGATTTTCACAAATTTTTAATTGTTCTTCAGTTTGACGTCTATATTATATAGAGAAGATATTTGATTAACAAAATAGAGATAAAGACGAATACTAAAATTATTACTTTTGTTTAAGAATTTCATCTTGTACTTCAAGTTGAGATACAAGAGTAAAATATTTTTCACTAAGATCTTTCATTTCGTCAGATTGCTCTTGAATTATTTCTTGTAAAGATTTAACACTAAATATATACATAATAACGCTTGATACAAGAAAGGACAGTTTTTTTTAAATATTTTACTCCTCATTCGAAGTAGTAGCTGCATGTGCCGAATCGACTGATTGTTTGACTTGAGCTAATTCATCTTCTAATTTTTGAATTTGATGTTGACTAAAAGCATTTCAAAATATCTTATAATTGTTAACAGATAATAGCAAAAGAAAACTGTTATAATAAAGAATACTAAATATTCACGTGCTGTCTAAACCAATAGTTTTTCGTTTGAAACCTTAGGAGAAGACTTTCTCAGATATTCCTTTTTCTTTTGTTTGCGTACTTTTTGGTAAAGAAAGACTCCTCTAATTCAATGGCATGATGTTCGAAAAGTTAGTAAGCTATATATTCTAGGTGAAGCTCATAGGCATTCAAAAGTTTTTTATTCCAAGTTTGATAAACAAGTTTTTTCAGCAACTTCTAATTCAAAATGAATTATGAGAGGGAAAAAATTTCTTTGTTGCTTTTATGCTGAAAATATATTTATAATGCAGACAGTAGTTATATAGCTCTTTGAGAATATCTATTTAAAAATATCCTACTTTTCATTTGATTGAAGTACTTGTTGTTCAAAAATTGCATCACGTTCTGTTATAAGTGATTGCAATTGTTCTTCATACCTAGCCCTTGTTGAAGTATGATCATCTAATACTTTTCGTAATTCGAGTTCAACTTCATTCAAACGTTCACGAAGTAAAAGTTTTTCATCATCATTTTGAGAAAGCTTCTGTTGGAGTTGATGAATTTGCTTTTCAGAGTCTTCAATTGCTGATTGACTAGAAAAAAATTTAAAAAAAGACGCAGATTAATATACTATTGCAATGAAATACGCTCAACCTTCTATCGTTAACTGATGGCGGCGAAGAAGCAAGCTCTTCTGTTTTTGTTATATGTTCATTATCAATACGGTCTTGACATACTTCTAATGAGCTATAAACAAGCAAGAATGTTTGTTCGAATAGAAAATTTCCGCTGTGTTTTTGGTTACCTTTGCATTTGATTGATTTCATCTTGAGCTTGCTCATAACTATTCTGTAGGTCATTTATTTGCATAGCTTGATTTCGAATAATAATTCTTAAATGATCAAGACGCTCAAGAGTGTCGTCATTTGTATTAGAAAATAATTCAGGTTGTTCAATCACTATTTGATGTATTCGATCTTTAATAGTTTGAAGAGCACGTTTTAATTTATTATTAATTTGTGAAAGTTTATCTTGTGTTTGTTCATCTGTTTGTGCTTCGTTATCAACAGTTTCTGGCATTTTATGTTCAACAGTTACAGATGAAACATTTGGTTCGCCTAAAGGAATTTCTATGATGGGTAGTTGATCATTCCAATCATTATCTTCTGTTACTGATGATATAAGTTGATTTGGTTCATTTTCATGTTCAGTTTGTACAAAACTATCGATAGTGATGGGTTGAAGTAAACATTGAATATCAATATCTTGAGATTTGATTATTGATTCATTAGCGATTGAATCTAAAAAAAGTTTAGTTCATATCAAAATAAGCGCTGAACAAAAAAATCAATGACTAACCAGTATTAGTATATTGTAATTTTATTTGATATAATTCTGCGTTTAATTCTTTTAAATTCTCATTTTCAAATTGTATGTCTGAAATAATCGATTTCAATCGATTGATTTCATCGTCTTCTGTTGATTTTTGTTCTGGTACAAGTTTTTCTTGCTGTATTTTTTCATCAGTCCAATTGTTACTCCAAGATGATTCGTCATGATTTGGTGCTTGACGTTCATCAGATAAATTACATTGAATATCAATATCGTGTAATGATACCATTTCATCAGAATCTAAATTGAAATAGTTCATAGGAATACTTATTGCTATTGATTAATATATATAAAATTTTAACGAGTATTTTTAGATTAATTATTGCTAATTTTGCACTAACAAATTTATCTCGGATAGAATAGTACTATTCTCTCAATTGAACGAGTAATTATAATTAATAGGGTATTTCGACTGTTACAGAATGTTTTTTTCTTAGAAATCCCAGGAGATTCAATCCGACCAGTGGATCCGATCGTTTCCGGCATCGGATCCTATGGATTCCGTTGCTTTTCGGTCGGCTCCGTTGAATTCCGACCATTTCCTAACTAATGGATACCGATTCCGGCGTACCCTGATTCTCCTGGGAAGGTTTCGTATCGTCAATGATGAAATGCACTGTCAAGGATGTGTATGCATGAAATAACGTTTTTCAGTATTATAGCCATGCCTATTTCTTTATACAGTAAAATGACTGTATAATTCGCAAGAAGATAATTACAATTGTTAGAAAAGCCAAAAACGGAACTGATGTTCCATAGGTGCGGTTTTACAATCTTATCCTGTGAAGTGTAACACATTTGATACTTCTCGGAAAATCGAGCATGTAACTGTGCTTAGATTACCTACACTTATTCTTTTTTGTCATGTTATCCTAATTTACAATGAAGCAAATATTATCAAACAATCAATCACCTTCGATTTAGATATTATTTCATTAAGTAAAGCGTTTTGATAATGTATATTCTAAAGTGATTAGTATTATTACGGTATTCGCTTTAATCAATTGTGGAGTTTACATAATACGATTTTTAAAAAGTATTGAATCCCAGATCGAACATTACGGTGACCTGATACGATCGTAAACGGCAACGTTTACTACCGTTTTATAACGTTTCCGACCGTAAATCGCCGTAATTCGACGTTTTGGCATGCACGGTGCATACCAAACGGCCGTAAATTGTGGTCAAACGGCCGTGTACTAGGGGTGTTACTTTATCTTTATGGATCTTTACATTAAAGAATAAAGATAAATAAAACCTTTATATTTATAAAATAAAGATAAAGACGATCTTTATTTGTAAAAATAAAGTTAAAATAAAGAAAAAAGAAAGATTTTCTACAGTCACTGGTAAATAGATGAATAATTTGTATAACAACAGAAAACATTGATTGCAGTTCTTGCTTATCATCACTGGCATTGCAGTATGAAATAATACTAGCAAATGATGGTGAGGCATAAATCATTTATGGAAAAACATCTAGTGTTCAAAATTTGATAGCCTTAAACTTCTTAATTTTCTTCGAGCTATCGGGAAAAGACCAAATTTTGGGTTTTTTAGGAAGCATATTTTTCTTTATTCTTTATTTTATCGTTATTAAATAAAGATAATGCTACTTTTTCTTTTTCTTTAATTTTTGACTTGATGCAATTGTTGATAGATACGTATATGAAAAACTTTTTCTTACCTTGATCATCTGCATTTCGTTGTAGTTTTCGTTGATACATTTGAGAATTATAGTCTTTTAGTAATTCATTTTCACTAATAAGTTCATCGTAATCTTGTCTTAACTGTTGATATTGGCTTTGTAATTGATTATGATCATTTCCTAATGATTTCTCACGACTTTGTGACATATTACTTAAATTATATTTTAGATTTTCATTTTCTTGATGTAAATTATATAAATTGAATTCATATTTTTCAGCTAAATCATTTAATATTTTTTTAGAATCTAAACGTTCGAGTTCGTTGTGTTCAAGCAATTCTTCATATTTATTTTGCAATTGATGCATTTTCTTTTCATTCAAATTTAGTTCATTCAAATATTTTTCTTCAACTTCATTGTATTTTTCCATGTAATCATGTTTTTCATTATTTATCAATTCATATTCTAGTCTTAATGCACGTATTAATGTTTCGTTATATAATTGCTTGGCATCATCAGTTAGATGTTGTTTATAAAGTAAGTAAATTGTCATTAATGCATGATGATTTAATTGTAAATTGTCATAGGATGATAGTGATAGATTCTTTTTTATTAAAATTTGTTGACATTCTTTATTAAGACGATCCGTAAGATCAGTTGGCGATAGAGAAGAGATTTCATCAATATAATCTAATAGATTATTATCATCTTCATCATGATTGTACAGATTGTCATCTTTGAGCTAGAAAAAAAACAAACAAGAAATTTATTCCTTTCGTCTTGTTGTGATTAATTCACATCGGTTACTGAGCGAATGTTTTCAACCAGTCGTCCCGAACTTTATAGCTCAAATAAGATATTCTATTGTTATGTACAAAAACATTTAGTAGAACTTTTTCAAAGACGAGTGAACACAAACAACAAAGCGATTCTAGTTATGAGATAAATTTTCAAATGTAAAATATATTTTGAAATGACTATTTGGCGAGAAATGATTTCTACTATTTTTTGTTTGCTTAAAAGTTTAATAACATGGGCAAGTCAAAATAGTTCAATATTCTTTACAATATGCAGCCTAAGCAAATACAAACTATACGAATATAATAAATAAAAGTGAATATTCTATAAAACACGCAGCCATTCGAAGTCCATAAGCATAGTTAATCTACTCATTCAAAATTTGATCGAAACATAAGTTGATCGAACTGTGTCATAGACTGCGAAATCCCTTCTTGTTATTAAAAGTATTAACTATGCAAAATTGGTTTCAGCGCAAAAAGTTTTGTACAACTGGTTTCTTAAAATATTTCTCAAACTCTACTTTCATCAACTTTGTTAATTGAATCAATTTTTGTTTTGATCACTTACGATGGGCCACAATTGCTGAAATGATTCAGTTTGAGTTTCTTCGTCATTCGTATCAACGAGATCAATTTGTGTTTGATGATTTTCATATATTACTGGAGTCGTTTCAATAGCCATATGAATTTTTTCTGTTAATTCAATTGTTTGAGTTTGATTTTCCGTTGTATGAGGAACATTTTGTTGGCGTTGTTCGAATTGATCTTTTAATTGTTGTGCAATATCATCAAGCGTTGAATTTTCCGGAAGAGAAATCCAATTTTGTAATATATCACGAAATGAATCGAGTTCACTTCGATTAGTTTGTATTAATTGATTGAATTGATCAGTGATGCTGGTTAGATCAGCTCGAATTTTTTCCATTTCCTCGGCGTCAATAGGAGCAGACGAAGATTGACCTTCCGACTAAATGATAAAAATAAAACAATAGAATAATAATAATAGATTAGAGTAAAAAATGATGAAACAAACATTTTCTTTTAGTTCATCTGTATTTTCTTCTGGAATTTGATTCAAATCTGATACAGTATGATGACCTAAAACTATTGATCGATCATTTAATTGATTGCTTAAGTTTTCTTTATCAAAAACAAGATGCTTATTGATTCTATGGAGTTCTTCATTTTGATTTCTTAACATAGCTAATTCTTGGTTTAATTCATCGACATAATCTGTAGAAGGCTGTTCAGTTAATTGCATTTTCAAAGTTGATTCTATAGATTAGATGCACGAAGAATAATTAACATAAAACAAAATCTATGGTGGCCTACCTGATTGAAGATAATCATTGGATCTATCGAAGTCAGCACATTTCGCCTTCAAAGTTTCTCGATCTTGAACGATTTTTTCGATAATCTTGTGTATAACATCATCAAATGAAATATGTTCATCGATAGAAATATAATCCTGAAGTCTATTTCGGAAATTGTCTAATTGTGTTTGTTCGTATCTTTGCCATGTACGATTTGCTTCATCAAGTTGTGCACATTCACTTGTAAGATGAGCAATCCTTTTTTGAAGTTCTTCTATATCTTCTCTGGCATCAACACTACTAGTATGAATAGAGACCTAAATATAACAAAAAACAACATAAAAAAATTATATAAAAATTCAAATTCAAACGAACCTGTTCGCGTGGCTCTTTCAATATATTCAATGATACTTGTTCTATAGTAAAAGAGTTTTTATATTCAACTAAAGATTGTAAAGTAAAATTAACATACCAATATCTTGTTTTGGTTCAGTATGAGTTGAGAAACTTTCGATTTGATCCATTAGGGGTTGTTTCTCAGCATAAAGTTTTTGATCGACTTCCTTTATTACACTGAGTTCTTCATTGAATCCATTAGCAGTATTCATCTCGGATTGCTGTACTGCCGGAACAGTCATATCTAATCGTGGAAAATCAAAAATATTATAATTAAAATACTTAATCATCCATACTGAACTACCTGATCGAAGACCATCAAATTTGTTTACTAATGCTTGATATTTATTATTGAAATCTTCTCGCTCGCTACTAATTCTATCAATAATCTGCTGTGCGACGATATCGAACGATACATTATCATCAACAGATAAATAGTCTTGTAGTTTGTTTCGAAACTCCTGTAATTGTGTATGGTGATACATTTGCCATGCTTGATTTGCTTCATCAAGTTGTGCACATTGAGTAGTGAAAGACGCAACGGTTTCCCGAAGTTGTTGACATTCACTTATATCTCCTTCAACATTCATACTACTAGTATGAATCGGAACCTGAAAATAAAATAAATAAAACAGTGAAATAAATGAATTGTAACAAACCTCTGCAAATGACTGTTTCAAAAGATTCAATGACACTTTTTCTAAAATAAATTTGAAATAAATTATTCGATGTAATACACGAGATAGAATAGATATACCGATGTTCCGCTCAACATGTTCTTGGTGTAATGGAACAGATCGTTTTTCAAGTTCATCAGTCAGATACTGTTTTTCAATTTTCCATTCTTCGCACTGTTTTTTTATGGCAACTAATTCTTCATTGATTCCATTAATTATAGTTTGATAAGTATTTTGCATTGCATCGGCGTTAGCTTTCGATTCTATATAGAAAATAATAAAATACCCACAAAATCACTTTTAAATAAGATAGTACCTGTTTGTAGGCGCTCACTTTCTTTTTCTAGCCGTTCAAATCTTTCATGGAAATCTGATCTTTCCTTCGATATTTGCTCTACAATCTGCTCTACAGCTGCATCAAGTGAAGTGTTTTCATCGACAGACAAAAACTCTTGTAATTTAGATAGAAAATCTAGTACTTGTGTTTGATGATATTGTTGCGATGCTCGATTGGTTTCATCTAATTGGCTGCATTGTGCTGTCAGAAGAGCAACAGTCTCACGAAGTTGTCCACATTCCACCATTTCTGTGTGACTAGGACCACTACGATGGATTGGAACCTTAAAACAAGCAAAAATACATCCATCCGTAAAAACACAAAACAAGAACAAACCTCTTCAAATGATTGTTGTAGTAAGTTCGATGACACTCTCTCTATAATTATCAAAATAAGCATCTGCAATTCGAGAATGACACCAAAGAAACCTACCAATATTCTGCCTAGAATGATCTCGATCGAACTCAGTTGTTCGTCTTTCAAGTTCATCGGATAATCTTTGCTTGTCAACATCCAGCTGTTCACATTGACTTTTCATGATAACTAGCTCTTGATTTAAATCTTCAATTGCATTCACATAAGATTCCTTAATTGTCTCCCAATTCGTTCCAGATTCTATACAATAGAGAATCAAATGAGAAATGAGGAAGATTTCGAAAAGAATTGTTTACCTGATCGCAGATCTTCATTTTGTTTTTCTAATGCTTGATATTGTTGATTGAAATCTTGTCTTTCGCTTATGATTTGATTAAGAATCTGTTGTGCAGCTTGATCCAATGTGAAAATGTCGTTCATAGGTAGATGTTCTTGCAGCGTATTTTTGAAAGTATCAAGTTGTGTTTGATGATATTGTTGCCATGCTCGGTTAGCCTCATCTAATTGGGCACATTGTGTTGTGAGAAGAGCAACACTTTCCCGATATTGTAGAAGTTCTTGTTCATGTTCATGTTCATGGATAAGAGGAGATGCTGATGTCGATGATGTTACACTATGAATCTGAGGCTATATGAAAGAGAAATTTTGTAATAAAGGAAAGTGAACGCACGGAACTGACTTCTGAAATGTGTTTATGTGGTGATCGTTTATGAAATATTCGTTGTGTAGGTTCTGTAGATCGTGGACGTTCTATATTGAAATACTTTATTAATTTCCTTGAGTGATGAGTGAATAAACTATTACCTAGTTGTTGTTTTAGTATACGAAGCTCGTCTTTCAATAGATCATTATCACGGATGACATTATCTCGTTCAGCATACAAATGATCTAAATGATGAATTATTTGTTGAGACTGATATTCTATGGAAGCATTATCAATTTCGTTCAATGAGGGTATTTGTTCTTGTAGTTTTTTTCGTAATGATTCTATTTGGTCGTGTTGATAGTTTTGCCAAGCAAGATTTACTTCTTCTAATTCTAAACATCGAGCAGATGCTGTGGCAAGATCTGCTCGTAATCGATAGATTTCTAGTTCATGTTCACGATTAACATTATGAATAGCCACATTCTTCAACAAGAAAAGAGGAAAATTTGTAAAACAATCAAATGAAATAATGATCACATACCTCTCTTGGTGAATCAATACGTTGAATGGTTGCATGAACTGGTGATGGACTCAGACATTTTTCCATATCAATCAATTTGGATTGTAATTGTTGATTTTCTAAACTGAGTGCATCATGTTGTTGTTGTAGTTGAAATAGTTTCTCTGAATTATCATTTGACAACTGAATTTCATCGATTTGTTGCAGTCGTTCTTGTAATTGTTGTTTGGATAATATTAATTCAGCATTATTCTCTCGAAATTCGTCACATTCACGAGAAACATCAAGTAATTTTTTATTTAATTGTTCAAGATTTTGAGAAAGCATGGATTCATTGAATTGATATTGAGTTAATTGTTTTTGTAAAGAGTCAATTACTGAACTTGAGTCTAAAAACAAGTCAACAATTGTTTTGCGTATTTTTAAAACTGATCCATTAGATTGACAATCTGCTGAAATTTAACATCTAGCTATTGCTAAATATGTTGAAAATGTAGATGATTGTATAGATAATACTTTCATCATATTAGAAAACTAGTAAATTTCTCAATAGGGATATCACATGCATTTATTTTTCCTTCTTTTTAAACAGAGTATGATTAATTTACAATAAACCCCATTCATTTTATGGTTGCTAGAAGTTTGAAAAGTAAATGATAGAAATATTTGCTTTGATTTGTAGTCATTTTAAAATTATTTTTAAAATATAATTGCGAAAATTTACTAGAAAGACTGCAAGTTTCTTACCTGACGCATATACATTTTCTTTACTCTTTTCTAATTGTTCAAAATGAATAAGAATTTGTTGTGCTACTTGTTCAAGTGTAAAATTATCGTCTAAGGTAATTGAAGTTTGTAATTTATTACGAAATATTTCGAGTTGACTTTGATGGAATTGTTGCCAAGCACGATTAGCTTCTTCTAATTGTAAACAATGAGCTGATGATGCACTGAGGTCAGCTCGTAATTGACGTATTTCTTCCTCTATATTTGGTGTATGCGCTGATCGAACAGGAGTTACTCGGTGGATTTGAACCTTGAAGAGGTAATAGGAAAATTAATTTTCAAGATTGGTTTAAATCTTTTACTAACCTCTTGAATTGGTGTATGACGAACTTCTTTTTGAATCATTTGTTTTGAAGTATCATGAGAAGATTGTCGTTCGAAATCAGTTAATTGATTCACATTAGTGAGTAAGCTACTCTTCTGTTGTAAGTCATCATATTGTTGTTTAAGTTGTTCATTTTCATTTGATACCAATTGTAAATTAGTTTTTAATGAATCAATTGAATATTGACTTTCTTTTAATTGTTCTTCAAGATTTTGACATTCTTCTTCAAGAGTATAGATTTGCTGACTGAGCGATTGTTCCTTTTCTTGTGACTTTATTAATTGTTGTTTTAACAAATCGAAATTATCTTGATTTATGCCTAAGATAATTAAAATTTGATCAGAAATTCAGATATTCTAGCTGAAAAGTTTCCAACTGTTGATGTACATCTAATAGATTTAGCACTGTATGTTCAGTGCTATAGAAATATTCCTCTATTAACATTCTTTTAGCAGCTCAAGTTAACTACATATAAAATTCTACTTGGATTTCTCAATGTTTGTCTAGTTTCTCCTAATATTATTTTGTTTCTAGTAGAATTCGTAATTTTTTTACCTAATTGAATATTTTCATTGAACTGTTTCTGCTGTTCGAATTGCATAGCAATCAATTGAATAATTTGATCAAAACTTTGATTATTATCAATATTAATATAAATGTTGAATTTTTCTTTCAATAAATCAATTTGATTATCATAAAATAGCTGCCATGTTCGATTAGCAATATCTAACTGTGTGCAATGATTTTGTAATGCATTAAGTTCTTGTGCAAGTTGATTGACTAAAATTCATTGATAAAAATTTTAATTTTAAGTTTAAATTCTCCTACCATCATGTTGACTTTCTTCATCACTTAATACTGCTTTTTCTTTTAATGATTCCATTTCAGTTGTTAAATGATTTACATATGAGATGATTTCTTGTGTTAATTCATCTAGAGATATTTTAGTTGAATGTGGTAAAATACTTTTGAGTAAATATAGCTGTGTTTGTTCAGATTGCTGCCGCGAATGATTTGTTTCATCAAGTTGAGCTGTAACCGAATCTAGATTCTGCTGAAGTTGAGACTAAAAACAAACAAAAGAATAGATTTTTTAAATCAAGAATCAAACAATTCACACTAACAATTTCACTTTGTTGTTCCAGCAATTTCCTATTTACTAATTCTAAAGAGTTACGAATAGAAATAAGAAAAAAAAAGTTTTCCAATACAAAAATATTTACCAATTGCTTGAGTATCACGTTCTTGATTATTCATGATCGATTGATTTTCAATTTGACTCATTAATGATTGTTTATCGCGAAGAACTTCCTCAAATTGTTCTTTGAGGAAGAGAAGTTCTTGTCTACTTTGAACCGATTCTAATAAGATTGAACAGTCAGTAAGATAGACAAAATAAAAATAGTTAAGACAATTCACCTGATTGAAGCTCATTATATTCTTTTTCTGAAGCTTGATATCGCTCATTAGAATATTCACGTTCAGCTGTTATTTCATTGACAAGTTTTTGGGCAATAGCATCAAATGATAAATCGTCATCAATTTGTATGCAATCTTGTATTCTTGTGCGAAAATCATTCACTTGCGATTGATGAAATTCTTGCCAAGCACGATTAGCTTCACTTAATTGAGCATACTGTGAAGTGAGAATAGCAAAATTTTCTCGTAATTGTAAAAGTTCTTCATTGTCTTGTTCCAAAACAGGAGCAGCTGTTTGCAAAGAAATCTAAAAAAAAGTGAACATACACTCTCCAACTGAACATCGCGAAATAATAGTAGCAACAAACTTCAGCAACCGCATTCACTGGTGTAAAATCTGCAAAAAGCAAAACAAACACATTTTTCCTGATATAGCTAAGAGAAAAATAAATATTACCAATTGATTCCTTGCTTTTGCCCCCATTGAAGCCCATAGGGCTTTTCGCAAGCTCATCAGTTAAAAATTGTTTTTCAGCAGAGATCAGCTCGAATTGTTCTTTCATACTATTGAGCTCTTTATTTAATTCTTCAATTGCATTCACATAAGATTCTTTGATAGTTTCCAAATTCGTTCCAGATTCTACACAATAGAAAATGTGATGAAAATAAAATGNTATTACCAATTGATTCCTTGCTTTTGCCCCCATTGAAGCCCATAGGGCTTTTCGCAAGCTCATCAGTTAAAAATTGTTTTTCAGCAGAGATCAGCTCGAATTGTTCTTTCATACTATTGAGCTCTTTATTTAATTCTTCAATTGCATTCACATAAGATTCTTTGATAGTTTCCAAATTCGTTCCAGATTCTACACAATAGAAAATGTGATGAAAATAAAATGAGCCATCGAAAAAATGGTTTACCGGATCGCAGATCTTCATTTTGTTTTTCTAATGCTTGATATTGTTGATTGAAATCTTGTCTTTCGCTTATGATTTGATTAAGAATCTGTTGTGCAGCTTGATCTAATGTGAAAGTGTCATTCAAAGGTAGATGTTCTTGCAGCGTAGTTTTGAAAGTATCAAGTTGTGTTTGATGATATTGTTGCCATGCTCGGTTAGCTTCATCTAATTGGGCACATTGTGTTGTGAGAAGAGCAACAGTCTCACGTAGTTTTTCAGCTTCTCCATCTTCTGTACGTGTAGCGACACTACGATGGATTGGAACCTTAAAACAAGAAAATATACCGATTCGTAAAAAAACAAAATTAGAAACAAACCTCTTCAAATGATTGTTGTAGTAAGTTCGATGATACTCTCTCTATAATTATCAATACTATTATCTCAATTTTGAGGATAAAATCAAAGAAGCCTACCGATATTCTGCCTAGAATGATCTCGATCGAACTCAGCTGTTCGTCTTTCAAGTTCATCGGATAATCTTTGCTTGTCAGCATCCAGTTGTTCACATCGACTTTTTATGACCGCTAGCTCTTGGCTTAATTCATCAACTGTATTAACATAAGATTCTTTAATTGTTTCCAAGTTCGTTCCTGATCCTAAACAATAAAATAAACAAAACAATAGATGAGCATCAAAGTGCAGGAATAGCTTACCCAATCGAAGATCTGCGTTGAGTGTTTCTAGTCCGTTATATCTCTCATTGAAATCGGATCGCTCTTTCGATATTTGTTTTATAATCTGTTCGGCAGCAAAGTCGAGTGAAATATTTTCATCAAGAGACAAATAATCTTGTAGTTTAGATCGGAAATCTTGTACTTGTGTTTGATGATATTGTTGCCATGCTCGATTAGCTTCATCTAGTTGAGTACATTGAGCTGTAAGAAGAGCAACAGTCTCACGTAGTTCTCCAAGTTCTGCATCTTCTGTACGTGTAGCACCACTACGATGGATGGGAACCTTAAACCAAGAAAATATATCGACCAATAAAACAAAATACTAGAAACAAACCTCTTCAAATGATTGTTGTAGTAAATTCGATGATACTCTCTCTATAATTATCAATACTATTATCTCAATTTCGAGAATGAAACCAAAGAAACCTACCAATGTTCTGTCTAGAACGATCTCGATCGAACTCAGCTGTTCGTCTTTCAAGTTCATCGGATAATCTTTGCTTGTCAGCATCCAGTTGTTCACATTGACTATTCATGACCGCTAGCTCTTGACTTAATTCATCAATTGTATTAACATAAGATTCTTTAATTGTTTCCAAATTCGTTCCAGATTCTACCGAACAGACAAACATATGCAAAATAAATGCAAAAGTGTAGCAATAGCTTACCCAATTCAAGATTTTCCATCGCTTTTTCCAGTGTTTCATATTTTTCATTGAAAGCCTGTCTCTCCTTCGATATCTGTTCGATAATCTGTTCGGCAGCATAATCGAGTGAAATATTTTCATTCACAGGCAAATAATCTTGTAGCTTAGATCGGAAATCCTGTACTTGTGTTTGAAGATATTGTTGCCATGCTCGATTAGCTTCGTCTAGTTGGGTACATTGAGCTGTGAGGAGAGCAACAGTCTCGCGGAGCTGCCCAAGCTCTTCATCTTCTGTACCATTCACACCACGCATATGAATAGGTACCTGAAAAGCATCACATATGCAAGAGAGAAAACAAAGAATTCATAACAAACCTCTTCAAATGGCTGTTTCAATACGTTCAATGACACTTTTTCTAAAACAATTAATTCACAAATAGTGCTTAGTATGATTCACAACAAAATAAGTACCAATATTTGGTTCAACTGACTCTTGATTGCTTGGCAGAGGTCGTTTTTCGAGTTCATCAGTCAACAATTGATTTTGAGTATCACATTCTTCACATTGCTTTTTCATAATGAGTAATTCTTGATTTAGCTCATTTACTGTGTTCACATAAGATTGTCGAATGGATTCCATATTATTTGTTAATTCTAAACAGAGTAAGCAAGACGGCAAGTGAAAATATTGTGAATGCGTAGGAAATAACCTGAACGGAGATCTTCATTTTGTTTTTCTAATGTTTGATATTTCTCATTGAAATCTTCTCGTTCTCTTGTGACATGATCAGCAATTTGCTGAGCAATGACATCAAATGAATTATCGAAATCAATCGATAAACAATGTTGAAATTGATTTCGTAAAATATTCAACTGTGTTTGTTGATATTGTTGCGCTGCTCGGTTGGTTTCGTCAAGTTGCGATGTGAGTAAAACGAGATTTTCTCGAAGTTGTCGAATTTCTTCTGAGTCTTGATGATCAAGTGGGGCGCTACTTTGCAATGATATCTATAGAGAAGAAGTCATTGAAACTAAACTTGAAGAAGGAAAGCTTTTGTGAGGAAACAAACCTCTTGGAACGACTTTTGCAATAGATCAGATGATTCGATTTCTAGAATTGAACAAGACATGTTTAATACATCGTTATCTAGATAAGGAAACTTACTGTTAGCTTGCTCGTACTGTTCTTTCATACTATTGAGCTCTTTATTTAATTCTTCAATTGCATTCACATAAGATTCTTTGATAGTTTCCAAATTCGTTCCAGATTCTACACAATAGAAAATGTGATGAAAATAAAATGAGCCATCGAAAAAATGGTTTACCGGATCGCAGATCTTCATTTTGTTTTTCTAATGCTTGATATTGTTGATTGAAATCTTGTCTTTCGCTTATGATTTGATTAAGAATCTGTTGTGCAGCTTGATCTAATGTGAAAGTGTCATTCAAAGGTAGATGTTCTTGCAGCGTAGTTTTGAAAGTATCAAGTTGTGTTTGATGATATTGTTGCCATGCTCGGTTAGCTTCATCTAATTGGGCACATTGTGTTGTGAGAAGAGCAACAGTCTCACGTAGTTTTTCAGCTTCTCCATCTTCTGTACGTGTAGCATCGCGGCTATGAATTAAAGCCTAAACGCAAGAAATAAAATCTGAAGGTGATATACAATCCGAAACAAACCTCGTCGAATGAATGTTGACGTAAATTCGATGATATTCTTTCTACAATTAAGGAATTTTCGGCGCTAAGGTTAAAGATCAAATCAAAGGAAACCTACCAATATTCTGTTTACACTGATCCGGATTCAACCCAACTGTTCGAGTTCCTAGTTCATCGACTAATCTCTGTTTTTCGCTGTCCAGTGCTTCATATTGATTTTTGATAGCAAGTAGTTCTTGATTTAATTCATTAATTGCATTCACATAAGATTCTTTTATTGTTTCCAAGTTCGTTCCTGATTCTATAGAAGAAAATAAAAGTGCATGAAATAGCGATGCGAAGACATAGGAATAGCTTACCTAGGCGGACATTTGCTATTTCTTCGCGTAGTGCTTCGTTTGTTGCGTTGAAATCTTCTTTGGTCTTGAGCATTAGTTGAATAATCTGTTCGGCATAGGAATCAAGTGAAGTGTTTTGGTCGAGAGGCAAATAATCTTTTAATTTAGATTGGAAATCTTGTACTTGTGTTTGATGATATTGCTGCCATGCTCGATTCGCTTCATCTAGCTGTGCACATTGATCTGTGAGAATCGTGACAGTTTCTCGAAGTTGTGCAAGCTCTTGATCATGTGCCATTGTAAGTGGTGATGCTGATTGAATTGGCATGACTGAATGAATCTGGGGCTAAAATTTACATAGATGCGTATTCCGTGTATATATAGACTCTTCACGTACCTCATGAATTGGCGTAGTGTCTCTGTGTCTAGTAACTGCAGATAATGTCGAATCTATAGAATTGTTTTAATTGATAGTGTAAATGGTAGTAGAATTGTACTCTACCTGATGATGATGGTTTTGTTTCGTGCTTTGAAATAGTAGATTCTTGATTTAGAATTTGTTGATTTAAAATAAATTTCTCAGTTTCAAGTTGATCATTTTGTTGTTTGATCAAAAGTAGCTTCTGATTGAGTTCATTGATAGTGCTAGCGAAATTTTCTTGTGTTGTTAAAATGTTATCAGTTGATTCTTAAAGAAAAAATAAATTTGTAGAAATAGATTTTAGAATGAATAACAAATTTATTACGAGAACGATGATCATTGATTAACTTCTCAGATGTTTGTAACTGTTCTCTAAGATTTTCACGTTCATCCCGCATTTGATCAAGATAATTAGCTATGTATTGTGCTATGTCATCTAAGGAAAGTTCGATTTCAATGGGCAAACTTGGTTGAAGTTTATTTCTAAAGTTATCGAGTTGCGTTCGATGATATTGTTGCCATGCTTGATTAGCTTCATCTAGTTGTGCAGCTTGTGTAGTCAAAGTAGCTAAATTTTCTCGTAGTTCCCGAAGTTCTTCTTCATATTGCTTACTATTAATTGTAAGCTTTTGAATGAGAATCTATAAAAAAGATATCACTATATAAAGGAAAATTGAGAATAATGGAAACCAACTTCCGCAGATTCATCTTTCTGCATAGGTTTATATTCTTGAGCGTCTTCTGTTTGTGTGTCTTTCGATTGATAAAGATGATCTTTTATATATTGCGCACTAACAGCTTGAATTTCAGTTGTTTCTATATAGTAATAAAGCAACATTCATTAGTATCAATAGAAAAAGTGTGTATATACTTTTAACATCTTGTAATTCAACAAGTTCATTATTTAATATATTAAAACGATTTTCAATTTGTTGTACAATATCATCAAAAGATAAATTATCAATATTAGTTAAGTTGAGTCGATCACGTAATAATATTATTTGATTCTGTTGATATTGTTGCCAAGCTTGATTAGCGTCATTTAATTGTTTCAATTGTATATTCACGGATAGAAGATCCTCTCGAAGTTGTCGGATTTCTTCTGTTTCATGCTCATGATTCGTATCCGTTGCTGATTTTACAAGTTGAATGTCATGAATACGAGCCTGAAATAGTAAATTTCATGTGAAAACAAAAAATAGAAGAAGAAACTAACTTGTGAGACTTGTTCTGTACGATATCGATCTTCTAACATTGGAATTAATTGATCAATAGAATGAATAGAATCGAATGGTATTTTAAAATATGTATATAGACGTTTGGTTGCTGATTTATATGAATCTAGTTCGGTTTCTAAATTCCCTTTATTATCGTCTATATTTTGAATTGTTTTAAATAATTGTAAACGTTCTTGTTCTAGTTGATCTAACTTTTGTTTATCTTGATTTATTTGTAGACTTAATTTTTCAATATCTTGTCGATCTTGTTTATGAATCAATTGTAATTTATCATAATCTTTTCGTAGAATAGATTCACGTTGTTTTATTTGTTCTTTTTCAATAAGATCATTTTCAATTTGACGAAGATAATCCATTACTTGTTGTTTTTCTTGTAACATTCGACGTTGTGTGGCAGATAATTGTGAACGAACTTCAATGTTATCCGAACGAAGCATTTCAATGGTTGAACCTAAAATACGAGTGCTTTTGTTTTCAGAAAAGCTATCAAAAAGAGGAAGTATTGATTTTGAAGAACCTTCTGTTTAGCGTGACGTCGCTAGTAAACACACTCGACATATATAACTAGAGGTGTCAGCCGAAGGGTTGAACGGCGACGGCGGGCAACAATTTTCAATTTTTGAAGATTTCCAGCGGCTCGTTATTTGAGCGAGTAATGCCTTCAGCGGCGGCTGCTACAAATTCTTAAAATCTTTTTCACAGCGGCGGCGTCGGCGGCTCAGTTAAGAATTCACTGACGAAAATTAAAAGAAAAATGTTCGATTCGATCGCATATGTATTAATGTCAGCGGCGGCAAATAACGCTATCAAAAATTTTTATCTCTTGCAGCGGCGCAACGGCTAAACTTGTTTTTTCGCAGCGGCGGCTCCCACAAAATTCTTAAAATTACTACTAATTTGGTGACTGTGGCGGCTCATATTATTGAAAAATCGGCTGCTGCGGCGGCTCAGCCGTACGGCTGACACCTCTATATATAACTATGTCATCCTCAATCATCTTCTTTAATCTTCATTTGTCTTTTCTCTTCTCTTGTCGTTCTCGCTATATATTTCATGTAATACAGAGTTAAGAACATTCTTGTTAAATAAAGTTAACGTACACGTTGTACGTACACACATACTTCTCTCACATTTATCTTTCACTCTAACACTTCTCAACTAGACCATTTGGATCATACAATAATTCTGCTTTATTGAAACAGTTTTGATTCTGAATATTTCAGATATGTTTTCATGCGAAAAATCTGATCTGAGTACAATTGCTTTCGATGATGTTTTTGTGTATTTGAATTCTTGCAGAAATAGCCGTCGCAAAAACACAATCATTGATCGATCAATTCGGTTTAGATAAGTAAGACAATAGAACATTTTTATATTAATCTTCATTCTGTTATTGATTTCTTTCAGTAGATCAATACTAAATCAATTTGAACTAAGATCGTACTCAATCCAAAAGATGAATTCATCTAATTGAATAACGAGGGTCTTTAGATGTTTTTCGATCTTTTACATCGTCAGAAAGATGTTTACAACTATGGTATCTCTCAAAAACAAGCAGTTTACTGACGAAGCTTTTAGATGATAACATCCGACTGTAAAATAAAGTTTTCCAAGAGTTCAGTCTTCATTCGTTAAATATACTACAAAATTCCTGTCTTAAACTAACGCTAGACTTTTTTGTTATCTTGGCATCAAAAATAATAGTATTAGATAGATTGATGAACTTCGATGAAAACGTAGGTAGGATACAATTGGCTCATGAAGAAAACTCATCTTTTATGAAGTTATGAAGATCAATGACAACACGATTCGTATATATTCTGGTACTTTTCATTGATTAGTTCTGACATGGTAAGCTACTTTTACCAGAACTGAGCGTGCTATCTGAACGCGAAGAAGCACAGAAAAAAAGTACTTGAAATTTATAAAATAAGAACGTTTTTGTATTTTTTTAACTTTCTTGTTCACGTATACACAGTTTTATTTTTGGAAAGGACTACCGAAAAAATAGTTTCTTAAATAAAATTACCTTGTTCAGCAATTTGTACATTCGCTTGTTGCAATAATTTTTCTAAGTCTTGTTTATTTAATTGCGTATCTTTAACATCATTAGATAAACGTATTCTTTCTGCATCAATTATTTTACAATCATTTTCTAGATTCATCATTGAAATTTCTAAACGACGTTTAACAATAATATGATTTTGTAGATCAACCGTTAATTCAGTTATTTTTTGTTTTAATTCGTCAATTACACCCGATTGAGATTTTGCATCGCAACGTAAAACCGATATTTTTCTTGCTAAATTGGCATTTTTTTCTTTGACTGTTTCATATTCTTTTTGTAACTGTTCCAGAACGAGATTTTTCTCTTCTAAAGATTTTTTCAGCAGATCTAATTTTGTTTGATCAGTATTTAATTGTGTTAAATTTATATGTTTATGTTGACTTAAATTATTATTTATTGTTTCAATATTTTTTTGATATTCTGAACGTTCTTGTAGAAGCACCCGAATTTCTGTACGTAATGAATTAATATAATCTTGAAACAAATTGCGTTCTTTATCCCATTCCAGAAATATCACATCGTCTGATACACCACTATAGGTTGTGCCATGTTCAGATTGATTATCTATACCTTGTTTACTTGCACTACGATCTAATGATGCAATTAAATCTGTTTCCGATGTTGATATATTACGATTTAATGAATTAACTGATTGACGAATAGCTATACCGGGTATAGATGTTTGTTTGGTATGAAATGTTTCAAATACTTCTCGGTCTTCTAACGAAGGTGATTCAATGTGAGGAATTGGTATAAAATGATTACCATCTGTTGATGATGAGGATGCTGGTACAACTGATTCGGGTATTGATGTTATAAATGTTGATGAAAATGGAAGATGACTTATTTTATTAAGTTGTTCAGTAAAATGAACCGATTGTGTTATTGATGATAAATCAATATTATTATTTGATCCATTGAATGGATTTATTGTTAATCGTGAACAAAGTGATGATGTTGGTGATGAATATGTTCGACCATATTTCATTTGTCTTACGCGGTCCACTTCTTTTTGTATATCAGCATACGATATTGAATGAGCTGGACTCGTTTTAGTATCTTGTTCATTTATATTTGATAGATTTTCAGGTGAACCAACAGCTAATTGTTGTAATTTTAATGCATCAAATTGACGTAAATTAGTTTCATTTAGAATCGGGATTTCTTCGGAGATTATAGGCGATGCTGTTAATGGTTCATGCTCAATTTGTTGTTGTTGTTGTTGTTGTTGTGGTGGTGGTGGTTGATGAGGATGTTGTTGTTCCTGACTAGACATTACTGTAGATGGAAGCTGGTCTAAAGAATTCGAATGATTAAGTGATCTTGATACTGGCTGATCTGTTTTTTTAAAATCAGTCGAATAATGAACGAGGGAATCGTTAAGAACAGAATTTAATTGATCACTATTTGCAAGCTGATAGAAATTATCATCATCAGCAGAAAATGTTACTCGCTCTGGTTTCAACATTGAATAAAACAATAATGCTGATTAATAAGAAAAATGCCTCAACTACGACAAGATTGATGAGACACATTCAGAACAGAAAAAATATTAACGACGTGTAAGGTATGCAGACAAGGGTAATTGGAGTGTTTCTATGACCAACCAAAGAAACGAAGAATAAGATACTCTAAAAATATACATACATTGAATAAATATTGATAAATAAAATAAATGATCAATGAATCAATCAAGCATAACAAGAATCTGGCATTACGTTTCTCTACTTTTGATCGATACTCGGCGACGCGCGATTTCGTTCGTTCTTACAATCGCCATATGTACACGCGTCACCCAAAGATTGATACGGATTGGCCATTAACAACCATTCACATACACACAGAGACCCCACTAAAAAAACTTTTGGAAAACTTTCAAAAAAAGAATTTTTAATCCTTTTTAATTTAAATATATTGTAAATTTTTTTTCGCAGAAAATTTCTTCATGCTACATTAATCTATACATATATTGTATCATTGTTATGTTGTTCGATTGCATCAGATGTATTTCATTTCTTAACATCATCTATCCATCTATATATATATATATATATATATCACATATTTTTGCAGACAATAGTTATATCAAAAGCAATGGCAACAAACTCAGTTTCTACAACGAATTTAGAATCAGCAATATCAACTGGTTTATCGATAACTGAAAATGATCTAAATGATTTAATTAAAATACAAGGAGATCTTGTAAGAAAGCTCAAAGCCGAAAAAGTTCCAGCGGAACAGGTCTGCCACTTTTTTTTCTAATGAACTCTAATCTCTGTGAGATTTTTGAAAAGATCAAGGAAGCTGTCGCTAAATTAGTAAGTTTGAAACAAGAACTTGCTGCTCATCACCTAGCGGTGAATGGAGAAGAAAAAACTACGGGTGGTGATAAACTTCTTAAATGTCCTCGAGTAAATTTTTGAATTATTAATACAAAAAGAAATATGAAATAGAAATGTGTGATTTAGGGCACACGTGATTATCATCCTGGCCAAATGAAAGTTCGTGAGGAAGTATTTCGAATAATTACTGATATTTTTAAACAGCATGGCGCCGAAACAATTGATACTCCTGTTATGGAGCTTACCGTATGAAATTAAATTTCTTTTTCCTAAAAGTGAAACAGATTTTTATCTATCTTTAGTCACTTCTAACGGAGAAATATGGTGAAGATTCGAAACTTATTTATGAATTAAAAGATCAAGGTGGTGCAGAACAATTAGCATTACGTTATGATTTAACTGTTCCATTTGCACGTTATCTTGCCGAAAATGGAATTTCTAGCATGAAACGATATCACATAGGCAAAGTTTATAGACGTGACAATCCAAAAATGACACGAGGTCGTTATAGAGAATTTTATCAATGCGATTTTGATATAGCTGGTGATTTTGATGTCATGGTAGCTGATGCAGAATGTATTAAAATTGTTGTCGAAATTCTTGATAAACTTGATTTGGGACAATATAAAATCTTTGTAAGTAGCTTCTTATTGAAAAACAAAACTAATAAAATAGTTCGTATCTATTATAGAGACAAGGATACTATCAGGGCTTTTCTTACATTTTGATATATTTTAGGAGAAAGCATTGGCAAGGAGAAGCTTAGCTTTATAATTTTTGGTTCTCTTTTATTTTGTTATACAAGTAACACCAGTGAGTAGGCGTTGAAACAAGGTCATGCTCACGCCCACCCATAGACATAGTCACACCAACGCCCTCATTTGCTTTTTCTTTTCTGTCGATTTGAAAACTTTAACCATGAAGTTATTATATTTTCATTAGAGCATCAATAGTAATCATAAATTCTATTGTAAAAAACAAACATTTTCTCAAGATTTAAAAAAATCTCTATCAACTAGATTTTCATCTTAGGGAAATTTATTTTTCATTGGTAAGTATAAAAATTCTTTTTTTATTATTATTATCTACAGGTTAATCATCGTAAATTGCTTGATGCTGTCTTTGCTGTGTGTGGTGTTCCGGATTCACACTTTCGTCCAATAAGCTCAGCAGTTGATAAACTTGATAAAGTAAACAATACATATATCTATACATGCACTTTTCATCGTAAATTGAAATATTTGCTCTTTTCTAGACACCATGGCCCGTTGTTCGAGATGAAATGATTAATGAAAAAGGTTTAGCACCAGAGATAGCCGATAAAATTTGGAGTTATGTTCAAATGCATGGTATGTAATAGATATTAATGACTTGTAGTGCGTTTTGAATAATAAATTCATTTAAAAGGAAATGCTGATTTAATAAATAAACTTCGAACTGATGCTCAATTGATGTCTCAAAAAATAGCCACTGGTGCATTGAATGACCTTGAAACACTTTTTCGTTATTTATCATTATATGATGTTATGGATAAGGTAAAGAAAAATAAAAAGAATTAATTTAAAAATTAATTTTCAATTCAAAACATTTTAGATAACATTCGATTTAAAATTAGCTCGTGGTTTAGATTATTATACAGGGGTTATCTTCGAAGCTGTTCTGACCAACTATCAGTATGATCCACAGTTAGGTGAAGATCAAGTTGCTGTTGGAAGTGTAGCTGGTGGTGGAAGATATGATGAGCTTGTTCACAAAATTGATCCAAGACAACGACGTGTGCCCTGTATTGGTGCAAGTATTGGTGTCGAAAGAATATTTGCAATTAAAGAACATCAAATGGCCAAATCAAAAATTCAAACAAAAACTGTTGAAACCGAAATTTATGTTGCATCAGCTCAAAAGAATTTAATTGAAGAACGTATGAAGCTGTGTGGTTATTTGTGGGCAAACGGTTTTAAGGTTTGAATTTTACGAATACAACAAAAGAGTTTCTTTATTTGTTTTATTCTTTTTAGGTGGAAATGGCATTGAAACGTAATCCAAAAATACTTGATCAATTACAATATTGTGAAAAAAATCAAGTTGAACTTTGTGTTATTGTTGGTAGTTCTGAATTAGAAGCTGGTACAGTAAAAATTCGTGTTGTAAATACACGAGAAGAAGTGAGATAATTTTTACTATTTTAAACTTTAAGAAAATAAACTGAATTTGTTTTTCTTTAATAATTTAGTTTCAAATTCCACGTGATCAATTAACTGAACAACTACGAGTTTATCTTAACAAAGTTCGACAACAATTACAAGAATCCTCTTCAAAAACTATCAGCAACTAAATAGACTTCATCGTTATTCTTTGTTGTGACTTGTCGTTTGCAAAACGTGCCGGTTTTTGTTTTAGTTAAAAAGTCAACACAAAATTTTCGTTTTATCAGAGGATTTGTCGAATATGACAGAAAAAAAAGAAACATAAGATATTATCTACGGAATTTTGAATGCAGAAACTAACGCAAAATTAAATCTTTTTTTTTTTTGTCATACTATAAGGTGAATTAGATCTGAAAAAAGAAAGTCGGAGTAATCTAGTTTTTTAATCCATGATCAAATCGAAAAGAAAAAGAAAAACATCTTACAAATAAAATATTCGAGAATTCAAATGATCTTCGTTTTTCTTTCTGATTTAAGCGAATTTATTGACCAAATACAGAATACTAATTCAAGTCACATTTCAGAAAAAGTTTTATGCAAATTTATTCTTATCTAATCTGTATACATAGTTACTGTTCTAGAAAATTGGTTGCAAGATATGCTTTCTAGATCTCGCTACTTTCGATACGATTCTGATCGTGTGAGAACGAGAGACATGAATATTTATATACGTTAGGTTCTGGATCAAAGTCTGATTTATATTGCGCAGATCTCTTATCGTGTTGCTGTAATCTATAGTTAGCACACAGACCGTCGATTTTTTCCGCCGTGGATATCTTCCTTATGAGGATATGAGTACCACTGACAAGAAGACCGTTATTTAACAAAATATGCTCGTCTTCTAAAATAGGATAAAGAATTGTATTATAGATTTTTTTTGTACTTTTTAAGTGTTGATATGTATAGATATGTGAATATGCGGTATTAAATCTGACTTACTCGCAGTTTTTTCATATATCGAAATGTGATTACTAACGATATATGGTAGAGATATTCATTCAAATATTTTTTTCTGTATATACAAATAGATACAATAATCAACTTGATTTATATATTTATGAAGAATGTTATTTTTGTTCTTTTGAAATATTGATCCAAGCTAAACTAGAAATACCACTAAAAGACTTAGTAGATTTGCAAATAGACGTAATCGTAGAGCAAGACTCTTAAAAAAATCACAACCATTTTCAGGTTTGATGCGTGAAGGAAAAAAATGAAAATGACAAGATTAAAAGTTGTATTACTATTCCTTATTTTTCAATCCAGTAGAACTACTATTTTAATTTAAGTGAGATTTAGCAAATTCTTTTGTAAATAATGAAAATCATTCGAATGAATTTCTATACTCTTGCTATTTCCTAGATAAAACGACGAATATATCATATAAGTAAATTATTAGTTAATAATAATAATAATCATAGTAACGTAGATATCAATAGTAAATAGAAGATTTAATTGAGTTTGGTGTTCGTATTTCAACTACTACTACAAAACTCTATGGTATAAATAAGAACGATGACTATGTTTCTCTCTTGAATTTCAGATGACTGCATTAGCCAAAGTTTTTGATAGTGTTCCCGATTGTGTTGGATATTTAATTATGAGTGACGATGGCTCGATTGAGCATAGTCATGGTGACTTACAAAATAATGAAAATGCTGCAAATTTAATTTATAAAATGGTCTTATGTGCAGCAAGAATCAGTGTTCATCCAACAAAACATATGGCATTTAAAAGATTTACAGGTTAGACACAAGCATTCAACGTTTTGAATTTCATTTTAAATAATTTTTAGTTTCTGACGATCAATATGTTTATTGTATCTCTTCTGCAAATCATCGAATTTATGCAGCTAAGCGTCGGCAAGAATCATCGGCGATTGCTTGAAACTCTTATTTGTCATGTTGTTACGTGTAATTCATGAAAAGCGTCTTTTTCTAATGATTATTTTAGAAAATAAATTGAAGATATTCTCTTTCCTGGATGATGATTGAAAGCAAAAATAATTTCGATTACTTCTGAAGAGAAGTTTTTAGTAGAATTAAGATGACAAAATAGGTGCACAGTAATTCTAAATCATCATATTTTTATTTAAGTGAAACTATTTTAAAAGTCAGCCATGTATTAATGAAAAATCTTTAGATTCGTAGCCATAAAACGTGTTTTAAGAATCATTAGAGATATTATTAGTTCATCTTCAAGTCTTTTCTGCTGTGAAAAACCTGGGGAAATCTTTCAGAGTCGTAACGATAGGCATCCAGTACCTAACCCGCTGAATCTGCCGTTAAGACAACAAACCATCCTATTAAATCGTAGTCATCATATACATATGTTGCTGACTTTGAAATGTTTGCTTCTGTGCGCAAGCTAGAAAATGAATGCATAATCATGATGACGACTGAGGGCGCCAGTTTGAATACGCAGAAAGATAAAGAAAAAACGTACGTCAATAAATATTCATTTAAACAAAGTATACTGTTTGAAAAGAAGTAACGTTGATATCTGATAAATTCCTTCATAGCTTTTTTTATCTTGCCTGTTGAACTTATCTATTATATTTTGGGATATCTCGATTTCTTAGCAAGTTTCTATTCAATACCTAATACATGCACGCAACTGAATGTAATCACTAATTCATATCATTGATAGTCAGTAGATTTTAACCTCACTATGCAATCAGATTTTCGAAACGTAAACTATCATTTTGGCTACTTTAATTTTCGTTCTTAAGAGAATAATACTTTAAATATGATATTTTGACTTCGATGGATGCTACCAAAATGAAAAGAATTCATTAGATGAGTTCAGCAATTTCCGCGCACAGGGATAGTATAGTGTTCATGCGTAGTACTTTTATTGTTCGAAAGCACTCGTCCGGACGATTTCTTTCTTTCGGATAGGATTTAATTGAAGATTAAAAACTAGCCAACCTGAGATTTGTGAATTCTATACTTCTTCACTTTTACAAAACTGGAATATTTCTTAAATCAATCCCAAAGCAACAAGATAATCTCAACATAATTCTAAGTAGTTTTGTCACGCTAACAGAGAGAGAATGCAGATCACTTTTGTATCGGTGTTATTATTGAGGCTGCATATTTGTTAGTTATCATAAAGGAATGTAAGAAAGAGAAGAGGAATTTTTCAGAAAATCGAAACGTGCACAAATGATGATAATAATGATGAGTCATTCTTTTATTCTTTATTCGTTTCGACCAGAAATGAATAATAGTTCCTAATGATAACCATTAATATGTCTAGTGAAATCAGTTACTCTCTGGCACACTCAACGCTTCCAAAATCTCTGGAAATGCTTGCTATCGAGTTCCATTGAATGAATCATTAATTATAAAAAATATTCTTTTGAATTTTGTTTCTGTGAATACATAATTACGGTGCATCGACATTTTTTTGTACGACATACGGCACTTACATATTATCTTATTCTATATGTTTTTCATGCAAGTGCTAATGGGCTTGTTTACCATGTTTCGCAGAGTTTCGAACTGGTGTCGAGCTCTGCTTCGCAATTACAATGACATTTCGTTTGCGACTGGTCCTTTATCTCTATCGTTCTGTAAAAATCTTGAAACATTCTGCGCTTCAATTTCTTCTTCCGAATCGGAATCGTTTTTAATTGTCTATCAAAAACTAAACTACAAAACAAGAGAGAACAAAAATAAAATTTCGACAAAAAAAACAACAGAAGGAACAAGAAAAAAAAATAGACTAGCTAAAACGAAGCTGTCTTCATTAATGAATCATGCCAAAACATTCGTATAAATGATTCATCAATTGCGAATAAGAAAGAGTAGAGCACAGTCTCTTAAAAGAAGTTTTTCATTCACCTGACATGAATCATAAAATATATTTTGATCAAAGTTTGCACTTACTCACTTGCAAACGATATTTGTCAATACTAAAACTAATATGTCAAAAATCTTATCGAATGAACAATATCTTTCAACATCACCATGTTCTAATAGTGGACCATCACAAATCTTACCATTTCTCTACTTGGGTTGTCAGGATGATGCACTTTCAGTAGAGACAATGCGAGTAAGTTTATTCATTTGGTTTGCTATTGCATTCAAATATCGCTTTAATACTTAGAATAATCAGATAACACATGTAATTAATGTGAGTAAAACCGGAGAAAGAGCTTCGTTTCTTAATGAAAACGATGATGAACATTTTTTACGAATACCGATTAATGATTGTCACAATGCGCAATTACTACCTTATTTTGATAAAGTTTATAAATTTATTGGTAAATACATTTTTTTTTTATTAATAAAAATTTGAATTCCCGTATATTTATTGTTTCTTTTGTAGAAAAAGCTCGCGATAATAATGGGCGCGTTTTTATACATTGTTTAGCTGGCATAAGTCGTTCACCGGCTCTTGCAATTGCATATGTCATGCGTGATTTATGTTTGACTGCTGATGAAGCTTACCAATATGTGAAACAATGTCGACCGAAAATCTCACCAAATTTCAATTTTTTAGGTCAACTATCTGAATATGAACGTACCATATCATTGACACCAAAACCAACAATGAATACCATTCGTCCAATAGTCAAATGTTGTACGCTCGAACCACCTATGAGTGAGCGCCGTTATTTTGTGCCATTGGAAACTTCTAGTAATGCAGATACTTCCATCGAACAGCGAACTACCGGTTTGTTACGGCCGACGTGTTTTAACTTCGATTCGATCAGTGCATCCCGACCCAAAACAAGTTTTTCATCATCATTATCATCGTCGTCGTCGTCGTCATCTTCATCGTTGCCGTCGTCATCATCATCGACTATGACAAAGCTATTATTACAGTCATCTCCAGAGCAAAGTCTCGTAACACGGAAAGTATCACGTCCAAATAACATTTCAATAAAACATTCAACCTTCTCACACGAATGTTCAACGTCAAAATTAGTTAAGAATAATTGTGATGTTTTAACAAATAATAAACAAAATGAAACAGTATTGATGACTCCCGATGCATCTTTATTAACTGAACAAGCTCACTTGATAAATACATATTTTCAAGATTCAACAATATTATCAAAGCCACCAAACGAATGGAAACCTTTCCCATCGCCTGATTCGACTAGTGAGACAACGACAGATCACGTATCAAGTCCAGCCCATGGCTTACTTGTTTCATACTACGATTATTATTCGCCTAATTTAAAAAATTGACTGTAGATTTTTGTTATTTTTCCCGTATGTTTAAATATCAATCTGATGCCATGTATTCTCATGACAATTATGGTGTGATATCCACGCTATATAGTTGTTGTTGTTGTTGCATTTTTATTTCATAAAGTGATATTGCGCCATGTATGTTGCTCTAATTACATTATGTTATATAATATGTAAAATTGAAATTTTATTTTAAAAGTGTAATCTTGAATTTAAAATAGAGTGTACGAATATTGATGGAACTATGGAAGAGATTGACAAAAATGTTTCCAAATTCTAAATTGAACTAGAATTTTCTTTTAGGAAATTCGACGTTGCTAACATGTATTGTGATCTTGATTCGAATATTTTTAACTTTTCGATTGAACTATAGCTTTCAGATACAGTCTCTTCGTTGAGCTCATTATTTTTATTTAAAAATTGTAACTGTGCTAGACAAAAACTCATTAATATAGATATAATCATTCAATCACTCTATCTAATTGAAAGTTATTTACTATTCAAGATTATAGTTTCGGCATACTTCATGAGTATGACAAGATGAAAGGTAAATAGAAAAGTTATAAGCGCGCTTTTACATCAGATAGATTTCATTCATGCAGAATGCAATTAATTCTACGTTTAAAACTATTGCCGGCGAGAACCATGATAGTTATAGATTTCCTTTAGAATCCGGAAAGGCTATAGCACTAACTATGAATTTTCCACAACATCATTCATCTGTGTCGAATATGGCGGTATCTGAAAATAATCAAGTTCAAGATCAACTTATAAATCAACATTTACATTCTAATCATATAACAACTGATCCTCATGGTTGTCTGGACTGTATGTCAACTATGTTTGGACCAAATTATGCACCATTTGCCGCATTTAGTATCTTATCTAATTGAAATTTTTGTTGCTTTTTTCTTTTTAACTAAACAGTGTTGCATGTTGCAGTGCATCAATTTTCTGAATTTGCACAAACGCAAAAGACGATCGCAATGAAACAAAATGGTTTAATTGAAAACCTAGTTTCTTTACATCAACGAGAACATCCAACAAAACAAATATTAAATGAAGAAGAACTGCAACATGTATTTACTTACGGATCATGGTCAAATGGAAAAGTAAATCCAAATGAAGAAGTATATAAATCTTCCTCTTTTCTAATTTAAGCGTCTATTTTCATCTAATCCGCATCTAGTAAGATTTTACAATCATTCGAAAAAAGTATCGAATCATTTTTCCATAGTTTATATCAAATTGGGGATGTTTAATAGTGATATTTATTTCTGCAACGTTTCTTCTACTAGTGCGTATGGCATATATTGTTTTTGTCTTTCTTCTATTTATGTGCAGGCTGGATGATAAGTAGCGCAACGATAAAAAGATTATATATGTCCACTCTGCTCCATTTCACAGAAGTTCTTTTTTCTGTCATAAGAACATAATTTTCTAATAATGTTATAAAGTTCGTCACGGACACTTACACTGATTTTCTCGTTAATGAATCTTCTTCCATTTCTAACTTTATACGTTTACAAAAATAAAAAAAATCATTCAGCAAGATATCACATTGACTCACATAAGTCAATGAGCTAGAAAAATTTAATTCAAATGCACCAACTGGTGCCATTGGTATCAATGCACCGCTGAAGACGACAGGGCACTGTTTGACAAAGTTTCTCGCATCGATCATACTTTGAAGTACGTAATGGCAAGTCAACCGGCAGCTTGAGATAAGTAAGACTTTCAATTTTGCTTGTTCTTATGGAAAACAAATCTCTGGATTTTTCCCTATCAGAGACAAAAAGAAGTATTTTCCCAATATAGAGTGGGACGGAGTAGTAAAGCTAAATAATTTTTTTATCGTTTCGTTACTTATGTTTCAACCTGCATTCATCATTAATAATAACTTCTGATATAGTTAGTAGGAATTACTTTCATAGTCTTGAGTATTTATTTGGCAACGATGCGCGATGTTACAGATCCTATTATTGCATTTATCCGTGCTTATAGTCGAATTCATAGAGATGAATTTCATTACTTAAAAGTATTGATCAATTTTACTTTTATTTTAATTCTCTATCAATATTCTTTTTTCTTTGTAAAATCATTGAAGATTATTCTCGTTTTAATTGCTGTTGGTGTTTTATATGTCATAGCTGTAGTAGCTTATTTTTCTGGTTTCATTGGACATTCAAAGCTTGTCACTATGATTGTAAATGTCTCTGCAATGAAATTTTGATCGTTTTTAAACATAATCGTTTTTTGCAGGCAGTAATATTTAATATGGTAGGAACGATGATATTAGTGATTATTGTCTGTATTGTTTTATTCATGGGTGATAGGGTCAGTTTCAGGTTCGAATTCTTGCATATAAGTGTTCACTTTGATAGATGAGACCAAATTTCGCAATTTTACTTGAACAAAATGTAGAAAATTTCGAAAGTGATTCTTCAACAAATTCACTTTCATATTCATGGACAGTAATGCACATAAAAGTAAAGATCTTATTACTTAGAGATAAATATTTTCCGCCAGATTCTACTTTCTTTAACAGTATAATTGTTGCGTTGACGGGATTTTACAAACAGGTCAAACAGTAGGACAGAAAAGTCCAACTTTTGCATCAATTCATCCTGGTTGGTCAATACCAGAATCATGCTGTTTTACAGGTATAAAAGAAGAACAATAAACTATAAATTCTCTTGAACGAATTTGACATTTCTTATAGACAAAACAGTATGCGTTCAATCACCCACAGTTAATAACTCATTTATTAATGTAAATGATAACTTTTTTTTTTGGTATCAAGATTTTGATCTTTCATTACTTTTAAAGTCTTCTTGTGTTGAACCTGCTGCAAGACATTTCAATCAACTTCTTTCAACTTTCAACTTTATCCTTCTACCAAATACATTCATAGCTGTACGTTTGATTCTTGTTCAAAAAACAAGAAAAGAAAAGAAATCTCAAAAGTTTCGTATTCTATCTTAGATGATTTGTAATGCATGTGGTATATTTTATTTGATGCGCTTAAAAACTGCTATTGATAGAATGAATTTAAGTAATAGTGAATTAGCCAAGAGTTTATTTGCTCTCAAATCAAAACATTTAGCTGGTATTCGTAGTGATATTAAAAAAAATCCCATAGCAGAATTTCAAAGAGAAAAAAATGATCAAATGAACGGCAAAAAACAACATTTAAATATTCCTGGCTATTTTCCTATAACACCAACAATTTTACAAGTACGACAACCAGAACAAACTACATATCTTGACTATGGTTTATAAATAATAAGAGATTTGTAATATGATATATCAGGATGTACTGAACAAAATCTCAAAAATGATACTTGATTATAGTGACATTAATTTACAATGCGCAATTGTTTTGACTTATTGTTCCTTGACAAGTGCTTTGAAAATATAGGCTTTATTTTGGTAGATATGTTTAGCTGTTGATATTTGCTTATGCTGTTTCCTTATTCATCACATAAGTAAAGCACGAAAATGATGTTTATCGATGTCAAAGTGAGTAGTCTTTTTTTTCCGATGCTATCAGAGAGACAAACCATGAGAATGATTCTAGTCACCTATTAAGATTTACAAGAAAAGACTATTCCTAATTTTCTAGAACATAAAGATGATGCAAAAAATTATACTAGGATATTATAATTATTTATGATGATTTAAAACAATGAATTTTTATATATGGATTTTTTGAAGAGAAAAAAACGACTCTGAAGGAGAACAGTAGTCACGATATGATAGATATAATATGAACTAAATCGTATTATTATTATTAGAATTTTGTTTGTATTAGTCAATAATAATCAAAGATTTGTCTATCATGATTAACTATTTACTACTAATAGTTACACGTACGTTAATAAATTCAATCATCATACGAGTTTCTCACTATATCTGTTAACTAGTATGACGAAGTGGTTTTTCTTTAAGAAACAAAATACGTGTTCTTATTTGAATCATTGGTTAAAGTTTAACTACATTTTGTTTGGACTTTACTTTATTCATACAATTCAAATCAGCCATTCAACTAAAGTTTACAGAATTATAATATATGAAGGATTCCTTTCTCTGGTGTCAATGTAATCAATCATATTTTAAAATTCTGTGCACTTAATTTTATCGTTCTCTATCAACCAAACAGACAATCAGGTACATAAGTATTATTAATTAAATAGATTTCTACGCTTGTGACCACATATGTATCTGGTTGAATGATTTGCATTATATGAACTAATGTCGATGTTTTATATCAATTGTTTAAAACAATATATGAATTCGAAATATAACGAGTTGCATATAATAGAAACATGATCTTAGTTATTTGTCAGTAGAATCTCTATGGAATTCAAGTATCATATGCGATACAATTACTCATATAAAAAATGCGAAGGTTGAAATAACCTCTCTATCAATTTATGAGTTACTTCCTGTTGTCTATAGACATTTCTTAATGAAACTATACCTATGTAATTCTATCATCATTTGTCTTTGTTTTTATCATTCATCATTACAGATTGTACTAAGTTCAAATCTCGACTAGGATCAAGTAGACAAGTTTATGAATCGATTTTTATTGAACTCAACATATACGACTGAGTGTTAATATGTCATCAAAAAAATTGACTTCTGTTTTTGGTACCAAAATTTATAAACAAATTTCAATCAATTTCAATTTAATTTTCTTTCATAAATAAACAAATATCAATTTGAAACAAGTTTCTCTGCTAATCGACACGCATCAATATACTGTTTTACATAATCATTAATTGTTTTTCGTTTGTATTGCATAATAAATCTTGGATGTGAAATTTTAAGAATTTTCTCAAAAAATTGATGTTTTGTATTCAATTTATTTAATATTGAATAATTAACTCCTTCACCAAGGCATATGGCAACTTTTCTCGAACAGCCAAGATTAATTTGCTTCTCAATACTATCTGGTATAAAATATTCCAGTAATTCATTCATAAAAATTTTATTATCATAATAATTCATATTTCGTCCATTCGATTCAAGACCAAGTGGACAAACAGCACCAATAAAAAATTTGTCATAAAATTCATTCATAGAATATTCAGTAAAAAAGTGATCATAAATAAATTTTGAGGATAATTCGGGTTTCAACGGAAAATTCGAATCAATATTACAAACTGTTTTCAATCGTATTGGATCAGTTAATGGAACACCTAAGCAAATATAGAAGAATAATTAACACACGCACACAGAATAATAACGTCAGCCTGTCAGAATCATGTAAATAAGTTAGGTGTAGGAAGTAATAAATGATGTAAAAGATAATTTTATCAAATCATAAATGCAATCATTTTACTTTCAATATCGACTATTTTGTTTTTACTTTATGACCTTCATAAAAAATAAGCCAACTTATTTTTATTGATCAACACTATTGAATACATTAGAAAATTTGTCAAAATAGCTGAGTATGAAATTCTAGACATCTGCAGATAATTACTGTGAGAACAAAAATACTAGCATATAGAGTTCTCAGATTTGATGATAAAATAGATGAAAGATTCTATTACAAATAGAAAATAAATCTTTATAGGCAAATTCTTCAATGATAATTTATTTTGTTTTTGTCTAGGAAATAAAATAGCTATGCTGAATACCTGTAATGCCAGAACCGAATCGACCAGGATTGATACCAAGAACTAAAATACGTTCAGTTCTATCTGAATAATATTTTGAATAGAACTCTTCCGTACATCGACATGTTTCAGGATTTTTATGTGGATGTAACCATTGCACATTCTTTCCGGGCAATTGAATATCAATAGGAGGCTCTAATTCATTTAAATAAGTTAAAATACGTTTATTCATTGTTTCTATATTCGACTGAAAATATTTTGATTTTATTTCCATCTTATAGATTTCTTGTTGAGAAATAATTCTGCAATAAATATATACTATGTGCGAAACAAGTGGTATTAGATGTCGCACATATACAAAATGTAAACACAGATATACGAATGAAAACGTTTCGAATGTCATCAGGATATTTAAAATATTAGAATAAATTATCAAGAGACATAAATAGTTATTCATTAAAAGCACTTGATTATAATTCTATTGGTGAACCATCAAAACAAAGGCTAGCTGGATGGGAAAAGCAGAAGAAACAGTATTCTTATTTTCTTTTCCTCTATTCTTTTCCCCTTAGTCCATTGTTTGATGAGTCATTGATCACTGTCAAAAAAAAATGAAAAAGCTTTGTCATTCTTCGGAAATTTGATTATTTGATTTTCTAGATATATATCAAATGGCATTAACGCCAGTTGTTAAAGTGGTTGATTTGTATGTATCTTAATTTAATTAAAAACCCACTACAACATCCTGCCTTTTTTTCCTCAAATAGATATCGTCATGAGTTATTCGATAATGGTTTTGGTGTGCAGTGGATGGATGATAATGATGAAAATAATTCAATGAATTCTAAGAATTCAATTATTTCAGTTCGATCTGTATATAGTAATCATAATTCACGTCTTCCAGCTCATATTTGGAGATCACTTGCAAAGGTAAGATAGATGGATGGGTGAAATTTATTTTATGAAAATAATGTTTTTTCCATATGCGTAGGTTTTATCCGGTGATGTTGTCATGGAATTAAATGGTGTTAGCACTGCAGGTCAAACAGTTGCTGAATGTAAATTTCTTGTTATTTTTAACTTAAATTTAACTCATATTTCTTTTAAATTTTAGTTGAAAAAAATTTAAAACTATCCGGTAATCGAATTCGCATACGTTTGAAATCAGGTACAATTCTCTGTCGTTTGTTAAATCGCCTATAAATAATAGCTTGATTTTTTTCTTTTGCAAATTTTGTTTAGTTACCTCGGGTAAGTGTTATGCGATGCATGCGAGTAATTAAATTCACTAATACACTACTAATTTGAATCTGTATAAATAATTCAATTAGCATCGATTGTTTTTATAATCGAACATAAAGAATCCTTACAGTTTTCATTTGATTTGTTCCATCAGATTAATTTGTGAATTGATTTATGTAATTTTATACAAGTATTACTATTTTTGTCACAATCGACAAACTAGACTACGAGACATACTTTTACTATCTTATAAATGTGTTTATTCGGGCAACACTCAATTACGAAGTGTTCGATTTCAGCACTTACCTGCACTTTCGATGCTTCTATTTGTTTGTCTATGCGTATGTGATCATCATGAATATAATCGATTTTTTTTCTTTCTTTCTCTTATTCTTTCTTTCTTCTATTCGCATAACAACTATACTTGTATGCGTACTGCAGTTTTGTATCTGTGGGTTGATCATTGACATCATCATCTAATTGGATAAAAATTTTGAGAAATTAGGCAACGAAACGGAGAAATCGGTAACGAGAGAGAGAGAGAGAGAAAGAGAGAGAGAGCGAGAAAAATAAAGAAAGAATGTGAGCATATCTTTAATTGCTAGGTTTTATTATTAGTAGCAATAGCAATTTATAATAGGCTTACTTTCCGGGTTCTTTTCATAGCGACAAATATAGATTGGCCAACACAATTTATTTTGTGTGGTGTTTTTCTCGCAGCCCGTTTCTTTCATATGTGAATACGAACAGTTGCAAGTTGTCAATAATAATAATCATAATAGAATAATTGTTTTTCACTGTAGTGAGAAATATAGATAGTTCTGATGATACGTTATCAACTGGAAAACAAAAATCGATTAGAAGGTAAATAAGTTAATCGAATATATAGACACAGTTAAAAGCTAGTGAGTGCATGATGTGAAATAGATGCATCAATTGTTTTTACAATTGAAAGACAAAGAATAAGAAGTAGCTTACAATTGATTGTTGTACTTCAATTCCCTTTTTTTTTTGACTTGGAAATTCTACTAATGATATTGATAGGTAAGCACAATTGAATAAATATTGCATGGGCGTATTAACTTGTCAATTTACTGGAACGATTTCTTGTTTTACTGGATTAAATAGATAAGAAGAAATCTGGTTACTTCATTTCTTGCCTACATATCGTTATTTTTTATGTGCGTGTTTTTTTCTTCAGTCAATGGCATCAAGTAGATGACATTCACATCATTCTAAGATTGATTTTATCATATGTCTTTTCGTTATGACACTCGACAATATTTAGTTTGCATTCCGAATATCTCTCCCAGTGACAATCAGAATTGACAGCTTGAAGAACATGATTCGTATGCTGAGGTTTCTTTTTATGGTGACAGGAAAACTGTCTAACATAAACATACATAAATTAGTTTGGTTTCTTTACTTGTTAATCTGATAGAATGTCTCAGTTGGTCTATTTCTAATTGACCAATATTAAGGTCAATAACGGTAGTGTTGAGTAACATATTTAACATGAAATTCTTATTAAATGTTTTTCATGTTCTTGTTTCTCTGGCAATTGAATTAACATATTTCTTTTTTTTTCTTTTTCCTTTATCGCTCATTAGACTACGGTAGCTGTACATCGTCTAGTCTTGTTGACCCATCTTGGAATTCACCAACATCTTTTACATCATCAATACAAGCAACAGACGAAGATAATTTATCTGACACGGAATATTATCAACAGAAAAAAATTCTTGTACCATTAACGAACGGTCATTCATACAGTTCAATGACAAATGGTCATGGCAAATATAATAAATCAGAGCGAAGTCGTTCATGTGAAAATAGTCTTGATTCGTGCGGTCGTAAATCATCTGATGAACTAACTATATCATCATCGTCATTAGCCGATGTACCAGTATCATCATCAAATAATGCTGATTATGATAACCTAGCTAGTATTAATGGTAATAAAGATGTTAATGGACAACCATCATCGCCAACAGCAATGCAACCATCAACATCAAGACTAACAACACAATCACCAATATCCTATGAACTTGATCAAAAAATAAAAGATGCCATCGATGCAAGACTTCGAGATATTGATGATGAATTTGAATTAAATTGTAAGAATTTGAATATCTTTTTCTTTCTTTTTTTTTGTGTTTTCATAGAGAAATAAGAAGAAATTCATTTACATAATCAAGTTAGATTATTGAGTGTTTTTCTATTCTCTATTCGATACAAAATGTATTCTTAATTATATTTATAGTGCCAGTTACTTCGGAAACAGTCAATAAATCGGTTGATCTTCCTTCAGCACGTCGATTAGCTAAACGTCTTTATACATTAGATGGTTTTAAATCAACTGATGTCGTCAGACACTTGTGTAAAAGGTAAATGAATATTCATTTTGTTCATATTTTATTCTTATACAACAAGAGAATCATCATGGGAAAACTCTTTGATTGAAAAGTTATGCTAGTTTCTTTCTTCCTCTTCTTCTTTTTGCCTCTATGAAGCATTTCTCTATGCTTAGACGATATTGCTCGATCATCTAACATTACCTTAACGATCTTTACCTAAAAACATGCGATGCGCATGCACAAAAGATTCTTTTTCTGCTTTATACTGTCCTTTTTTTTTTCTTTATTTCTTAATTTGATTATAATAACACGCTTGCGTGCATACAAATGAGAAAGAAATAGTATGAGAAAAAGGGAAATTGTTGGGATTTTCATTGCGTCATCTCTCTTTCCGGAATATGTCTTCTTTTCTTGTCTTCCTATTTTTCCCAAATCTGCTACGATCAAGTAGCTACTGATTCTTTTCATTTTTCTCTCACTCTCTGTTCTTCAGCCTTCAGGCTTGTCGGGTTTCCCTCGATCTCTCATTTTCTCTCACTCACTCTCTCTCTCTCTCTGCTGCAAACGAGCGCATCATCATCACATGTGCATAAAATAGTTCGACGGCAAGCGGAGCGAGCACACAAGCAATGGAAACTTTTTTCATGGCAAATAAATTGAACACTAGCGAGTAAAATAGTAGTGGTTGGAAAGTCAATTTCACTCCATTCTGTTTCACTACCGCCTACCGTCGTCTCATACGCTATGCGCGTCGATTAGGAAAACTCATTGAAATAGTACGAGCGTGTCATTGGTAAAAAAAAAACGTTCACCATCTTCCTCCTGTCATCGAGACTAGTCGTTATCGGCGATATTGCTGTTCGTGCGAACAGTCTAATCAAGGAACAAACAGCAACATGTGTGCATGTTGGGAATGTGCTTGTTCGACTGTTGCACCTGTATGAATGAACGAACGTATGTGAATTGTATTTTCTTATTGTATGCACTATATATATATCTTTTTTTAAACACCTTTGTAACAAAAAAGAGAAACTTTTTCATTGAAATTCTGAGCAGTTAAAGTATTGTTTGTCAAAGTAGCTATTTTATTTTTCTTATTGAATATCCTTGTCAAAATCAATTATTTCCTGCTTAATTATATTCTGATCAGTATAATCTGTTTTATTAAATGAAGAAAAGCCGCTGGAAAATAAGCTCATTTTTACTTATGAACGAAGGAAGAGAAAAAAAGACGCTAAACTAAACCGATTCTAAGCAAATACAGAAAAGTTTGTCGTTTTTTTTCTCTACTCGCTATTGTTCAATTGAGTTCGAGTGCACCAGGAAATCTATATTAGAGACACTCATTGTTTTCTCTTATGATTATTGGTAGTGTTTTTATCATTGCTGTTGTTGTTGTTGTTGTTGTTGTTGTTATTGCTATTACTGTGACCAAAGAAAAGAGAAGTCAGCGAAATCGTCACAATTATTTTATCAATATGATTATCAAAAGACTCGAAAACTAATAATAGGATGTTATTAAAGAATGACAAGAACCTTTTAGAATTTCCGTTGATATTCATGTTCTCATTAAAAACTACAACTAGAAAAACAAATCATCCAAGAAAAGATCAACTTTTAATAGAAACACGAGTGAGGCCGCATTTGATTTCTGTCTCATTTTTAAAGATTATGTTGACCAAACGAGAGAAAAAATGATATTTTCGCTTGAATGAAACAATTTTTGTTCATCATTTCCATCTCTATAGACGTTATTCATGCCGACGGATAAAACTGTTCGGTGAGCCGGGAAGATTAGATTATTATTTCTCCTTTTTTTTTGAATAATATATACTTTTCTCTGCGTCTTTTTTTTCTATACTCCTTTATCCTCAAGCTAAACAAGGCAAGATAGGATGACAGCAAGATTTCGATATCTGTTTCTATTCCATAAAACTCAAGAAAAACTAAGCATGTCCTTGATATGCTTATCACTATGGAAATCACATTGCTGTTTTCATCAATATAATTATCATTCCAGGAATGACTTCAATCAATTGGTCGCTGAAGAGTATGTCAAATTGTTCGATTTTCAAGGTGACACACTTGATCGTGCATTAAGAAAATTTGTTAAACAATTTACAATTATTGGAGAAGCACAAGATCGTGAACGTGTACTACATTTCTTTGCTGCAAGATATCTCGATTGTAATCCAACAACATTCACGTCTGTCGGTGAGTTTATCATTTCTTTGTTGATTTTTTAAATTTATTTCAGTAAGAAAATAAATATCTTTTTAAATTACTCAGATGCTTGCCATATGTTGACTTGCGCAATTATGTTGCTAAATACGGATCTTCATGATGCAGTAAGTAAAAGAGAAAAAAACGAGATGTTATTTTAAGTTATTTCAATTTTTGCCATCTTTTTTTTTTCAACAGAAAATTACAAGTAAAATGACATTTCAACAGTTTAGTGATAATTTACACGAGTTGAATGATGGAGTTGATTTTTCAAAAGATTTACTTAAATCATTATACAATGCAATTAAAAATGAACAACTTATTGATGAAACGTAAGTGCTTGTAAATAGATGTTGTCAATAAACTCTTAAATCTAATTAGTACGATGAACATTAAATAAATGCATATGCTATTGCTTTAGGCGGTAAATTTCTCTCTTGCAAAAACGACCGCATTTTTTTCTCTTTTTCTTATCCGATCAATTGATCGGGCACATACAACAGTTAACTATAAATAATGTTTTTTTTTCTTGACCGAGACTTCCAACTGATCAGAATAGTAAAAAAAAAGAATGATTAGAAGAACAAGAAAAAAAAATCTTATCATTAATGTCTTTTTTTATTTTATTATGAGAACAGTCTCGTTGATCATGTGGGTTGTTCGTCTATCAATGTAAAGTAGATAGTAGCACTTGCATGTGCTTGTAATCGTATAGAACTATACTAATAGCAGCATGGAAACCACTAATTCTATTGCTGTATATAATCTACAGATGAGTTGTTATTCTCACTCCAACATGTGATTAATTGACATGATGATGGAAAAGTTAGTTCGATAGAGAAAGAAGAAGAAAAAGAAGAAAAAGAGGAGGAAGAGGAAAAAAATTGACAAACGCAATCATTCCATCGAAACGATTTGTCATACAGATAGTATTGCAGACGAAGAATACATCTGTAGAGAAATACATGCTGACTTGTTAAGATGAGTTTCCAAGGTATCGTTTTTTTTTTTGTTGTATCCTAGCATTTCTTTTTAGGCACGACACGAGAATTGAAAAAGAACATGACAAAATCTATGACCTTCGCAGTATATTTAAATTTTTAGCCTATTGAGATTGTTATTCAGCACATACCGGAAACTAGTTTGTATGGATAAGTAGAAAAGCGCATGTGTTGGCATGTCAAACATTTATTCTAGTGACTATTCTTGTTTGCGCGTAAAATTTATTTAGCTATCTTCATTGAGTTAACTGCTCGTACTCGACTTTTTGTCCTCTAATTTTATTATAGAACTGTCTTCTCTTCCATGTTCATACTCATCGTTGTTTGAACACATATTATAGAGAATAAAAAAAAATAGAAATTCTATACATCGAAGATAGAAATAAAACCTGCGTTTTGATCGAGAATCAACTAGGTAAGAAATATAAAAATAATATACTATTGAATCGACATGATTTAGTGCATTTTGACAATTATTTATATAGAAAAAAAAAAAGATCCTTTCTATCCTTCATTGCATATGTATGTATATATATATATATACAATGTCCTCGCGTTCTACACATGCTTCGACATACCACTAGATAGAGGAGACGTCAACCAACGACTTGCACACATACGGAGATAAACAACATATGTTCGAAATGTACACAGACGTAACGATTACTTGACGATATTAACGGAAGGACGAAAAGAAAAATACTTTATGAAAAAAATCGAATCATACATTATCACGTACAGGTACGAAAGTGAAAATGGATAATCCATTCTACAGAAGCGAAAATCCTATTGATAATTTGACGTCGTCTATCAAACAGAACAGCATAGAAAAACAGCATTTTTTTAAATACTAAAACAAGAAGTTAATGGATATATATCATAGAGTTGAGAACAGAAAAACAAAAAAAATTAATTACACAAACATATCTAAGAGAAATCGCCATTTAGACAGTATAAAAGTAGCCTCGTTATTAGATTATTGGAGCTAATAGAAACATATGCTTTTTTTTGACATTCCATCGCATGACAGAAAACAACATAAGAAATACCAACCGTTGTTTTTTTTCTGCCTATTTCTAGAACTCTTGGTTCCGATGATTATACAGATGTCCGTCTAAGTGGACAAGGAACATTACATGGATATAGTAATTGTGTTAATCCATTTTTAGAGGTAAGTGTTATATTAAATAGCATGAAATAAATATTTGTTTTTCTTATTTTTTTTCTCTTAAGATTCCTGATACTAGCAAAAGTATTGAATACATGCAGGTAAAACAAAATAAAAATAAACTTATCTATTTCCAATATATACTTTTATTTTATTTTAAGGGCTATGTTATGAGAAAATGTTGTGTGGAGTCGGATGGCAAACGAAGTAAATAAATTTTAAGAAAAACAATCATAAATATAACCTTCATTCTACTTTAGCTCCATTTATGCGTCGTAGTTGGAAAGCCTATTATGCTAGCTTACGTGATATGGTTCTTTATTTACATAAGAATGATCAACAACCAGCCACGATCTTAGTTGGGGATACAAATGCAATACGTTTACATCATGCATTTGCGCAAGAAGCAACTGATTATCGCAAACGTCAACATGTATTTCGCTTAAAAACTGCTGATTGGGCTGAATGTTTATTTCAAACAAGTGATCATGATCTAATGAAAAAATGGATTGATGCTATTAATTTAATTGCAGCATCCTTTTCATCACCACCGTTACCAGCAGCTATTGATTCATCATCCATACATTTTCAACGGCCACTTTTACCTAGTGTGCAAACACGTCATTCTGTTGTAAGAATTTGAAGCATAATTTCATTGAATCTTTATTTTGCTTTCTTCTAGTTCGAACAATACGAATATATAATTAATCAAATAAATGAAATATCGCGTCAATTAAATGAATTAAAAACGCATTCATATATAACAATTAATAATAATGAAACTATCAATACTAATGGGGATTTAAAACAGCCAACACCAATGAAAGCACGAGATATGATTGAACATAAAGATAAAATTGATTATCTTGAATATGAAGTAAGGAATTCATCGGAGTTTTCTTTTACGATAAAGATTTCTATTGTTTTCTTTTCTTTTTATTCACCAGTTAAAACGGTATGAAGCATATGCAGATCGTCTTCGACGACATTTTCAGCAATTGCAATTAGATTATTCATTACTTAAACCAAATAATAATGAACAACAAGATCAAGAACAACAAGAGCAGCAACATGGTTTTGTAGGGCCTATTGAAGCTTTCTCGGGTGTACATAATACTCAACAACAAACATTTCCTCATCATCAAATATTACCCACACGGCCAACATCGACAGTTGCTTATAAAAAAGCGTCACAATCTCCCAATATAACCATGTCAAATCCTAATCGTTATAGTTATATGATGGCTGTGAATACGCATCCAGTTGCAATGAAAGAACATCGATTATGATTAGTCTGATATTTTAAATCAAAATTGCGCACTTGATCCAACGAAAAAAAAAACAGAATCACAAACAAAGCGCGTATATATATAGATATATGTGTGTTTTTACAGTGCGTTTTAGAACTGTTGTATATTAATGCTATGCGTGTGTGCACCTTCTTTATTTTGTTTTCTTTTGTGAACATGCTCAATTGATTCTTTTGCGTCTTTGTGCTAATCATTACTTTCTTCACTAGTCTCTTTGTTTTTGAGCAATATCTTCAAAAATTTCTTTTCTTTTCTTTCTGCTACTTTTGCGTATATCTCTTACTTCGTGTGTTTATGTTTGTGTGCGCCTAATGCTGCCTATATTTGCCCCTTTTTTTCTTTTCTTTTGATCCTGATCTTTTCTTGCCAAATCCCGGTGGTAGTTGGGAGAGTAGCTCTCATGTTTCGGCTCATACAAAAAAAAAATAACATAAGAAAGAACTTGGCAGCTGGTGACGTGTACACGCATCGGAATGAAAAATTAACCTTGTCTATATAGTGTTCTAAATCATTAGCAACAATATATATATATATGCATATAATGGTTATTGAAATGCCAATAATCATGACCTTCATTTTAGCATCTAGAATATGTCGTGCAAGTATTATCACGAAATAAAAGATCAATGAGTATAAATAGAATATTACAGAATGATAGAAAGAAAAATTTCTTTTTTTTTGCTAGAATTATTGTTGATCATTAGAGAACAAAACAAAATTGATGAGATGTCGTTATCGAAAATTTTATATTTTATCAGGAAAACTGTATCCGTCTTTTATATACATCCGCCTACAATAGGAAATAAATTGAATGATGTAATCGAGAGTTGATGTATTACGTTTTCATTGAGTTAATCATAGGTAAATGTCGAAATGATGAGAAAAAAAAGCGATCAATCAAAATAACAATAAATCATAGGCCGAATATAAAAGCCTGGCTTTGTGAATAATTGCAGAAATAATTGATATCTCATGGGAACGCTCACTTGATACATATTTAGTTTATTATTATCGATGTGATTATTTTTGAAAGGCTCAACTTTATCTCTAGACAACTTATCAGACAGTTTTTTTTCTTGACAGAAAAATGATGCTTTATTAATTAAGACTTTTTATTTTTATGTTGTTTGCGCCTCGTGTATGATCCTATTGACAATGAGGGTGTTATGTGGAAAAATCAAGTATATCTATATATATATTGCTAGTGGGAATTTTGTAAGAACTTTTTTATGCTTTTCCTTTGGACCTAACAATTGCTATTCTTCAATTATTAATAGTTAAAAATGTCATAAAATATTAGTGAATAAATCAATAACAAGCAAATCTCTCAATAGTAGTTCTGTCGTACTTGTTTGTTTTCAAGAAATGTTCTAACCTGCGGCAAAAAAGTCTGATATTTCATGATTTATTACTTTAACATTTCGTGTAATCAATCAGCATCAAGCAATCAGTTCTTTTTTTATAGTTTACATGAAAATCTCTATAGAATGATTTACAGGCTAGACTGAAAAAAGCATGATGTTCAACATTACTTTTTGTCAAGAATTTTTTTTCTGTAATTTTTTGCCGTGAATATAGTATTTGAAATGATAAACTTAGAATTAACAACGAGAGATATATGTAGCATCTAAAAATCAGACAAAATTGCAAAAAAGATTATGTTTATTGAAAGACAGCGATGCAGTCACTTCTTACACTTGCTGTAGAGAATGTTTTTTCATTGACATTGCATTTTACAAGATATAGTCTGACAGATAACGAGTGGTGAATGAAGAATGAATCATTTTTGTTCTGTCATTTGGAGGATTTGAAAAAAAATTCAATCAAGATCAGTCTTATTCAAAAGAAAAATAATAGAAAATCATGTGAAAGGCATGGCTGTAAAGGTTGTTAATCAAAAAAAAAAGGATATCTGCCTGCATAGAAAAAACATAAACGGAAAGTTGTGTACACTAACTTCAATATCAAAGGTCGTGACAGGACACGTTTTTCAAGCTGTCAGTTATATATATGAGCCACGCATGAAAATTGAAAATAGTCGACTAGATGAGTATCTCTTTCTTTCTGACCTGAGCTTGATTTATTCAGAGTAAATCTTTTATGAGATCATCAGTAATGTTTGTTTGTAAAGAATTCTAAGTTAGACAATCTTTTTTTAGACGTGTTTGCGTGTTTGTCATGCGTCAAAATGATATTAAAGAAAATTGACAATCTCTATTTATAACTAGACTTACATGAATCTATATTAAGATCTCTGATTTTACACTGATGAGCTTCGGTTAATCCTCGAAAAAATAGTAAATGTTGGTTGCGACAGGCACAATACAATTTTTCGTCGCCACTGCTACGCCTCCAGATGTTAATTTGCAAGTTTTGAATACTTGTGATTGTCAAACATTTGATTTTCTACATAATTGTTCATAAAACTAAGTGAAAATTTCAAATCATCAAAAGCTACAAACATTCTGTGAAGAACTACAACAAAAATGACATAGTATTCTTTACAAAAGTCATTATTTTCAAATATATACAATCTAATGAATCTCAATTTTTTTGTAGCCACAAGTAATATGAACAACAAATAGAAGTCTGCTGTTGTTTGACGCAGACTTAGCTCTGTATACTATAATGTCATGTGAGACCTTCGTAGAGCTTGTACTGAGACAATTTTCATTAATATACAAAATTATGAAAAATTCTGTAGACTCATCATTTTCTTTTTGGCTCCTCAAAACTGTTTGTTATTCATCAAATCAAATTTAAGTTTACATAGAAAACAACGATGTCTGCTGTAATCAACTATGTTTAGTTCTCGTTTATGATTGATACACCGTGGGACAACCAACAAATATGTTGGACCAAGAATTTCTATACATATCTAGGTTATATCGTCCAGACAAAAATAAAGAGTTCTGTGCTTATGATAAGAATTTAACGTATTCTGTAGTGTAAATATCAACGATGCATTATTAAATGTATCAACGGTTTGTTTTACTTGAATTAAAAAAAACAAATTCGTGTGATAGATAATAATGAAATATTTAGTCAATCTATCAAAATACAATAATGTGTATATTTATATTATCGAAAAAAAAAGAATTGACTCATGTTGAGTCATCGCTAATTAAAGAGCACTAGTACATTATTAATTTTACTTTGCTCATATACGTATACGTTATATTTATCTTCTATATTCAGAATACGTTTTTGCTCATATCATGGTAAAAGATAAGACAATGAGTGTTTCATATCAATTCTTTTTTTTTTTCATTTTTTGTAATCGAGTTAAAAATGTCTTTACTAGCTTTTCCTGATGAAATTCTTCTTGATATATTTGATTATTTATATTTTTATGAAATAATTTATTCATTCTATGAATTACAAAAAACTAATAGTCGAATACATGACCTAATCAATAGTCGTCTTCGTTCAATAAATTTATCCAAACTAGATTTACGTTTTATGACAAAAGCACAATTTACTTTTATATGCCGTTATTTAACATCTAATCAAAGTGTGCTTGAACGAATTCATGATTTAACTTTATCAAATCAATTTACGTATGGTGAAATACGTTTATTTTCAAATCAAATATCATTTGATCAAATAATTAATTTAAAAAAATTGCATTTAATTAAGCCAGCAGTAGATGAATATCAGATATTATTTCCAGAGGAATCATCTAAGTTAACTCATTTAACATTAGACAATCCTCGATGTGATGATGATGAACGTATTATTCCTATTGATGAAATGAATGAATTAATTGAATTAAATATTTTATCAAACTATCCAGTTCAATTTCGTTCAGAATATTGTCGAGTCGAAAGGTTAACTGTTAGCCAATTGAATTTAATTGATTTAATGGGTTTTTCCACTTTTTTCCCTAATTTACATTATCTTGATATAACATTAACTGGCACTGAGATTGAGTTCGATGAAATACCTTTACCGTTATTAACTGTATTAAAATTGCGTAGCTACGACGTAGAACATTGGTTGTGTGAAAAGTTTTTGTCAAATCTATTACAACTAAGAGAATTGTTCTATTCAAATAATATCCGTTGTACAAAGACATTACTTGTTGATGGTTATCGATGCCAATCATTTATTGAACGATTACCTTTATTAGAACAATTCGAAATCAATCTACATTTGGTAAACGCATATTCTACCGATATATGTGAAATAACAGCGTCATTTGAAAGTTCATTTTATGTTTCGAAAAATTGGAATATTGTTTGTGAATCGAAGCCGGATTCAAATGATTTTCATATTTATTCAGTACCTTCAGTATCATATACAGATTTACATACAACAACAGATAGTCTTGTTTCTTCAGCTGTTTTACCTGTTGATGATCCATATACTAATATCAGCTATATCAAATTAATTATGACATCGAATTGGCCATTAGTAACAAGATTTTTTCCTAATATTAAATCACTTGAATTAGTTCAAGAAGATCATTCGAAAATGATTCCAACTCATTCTATATTGTCATATTTAAATAAATCGATGTTTTTATCGAAAATTCGTAAATTAATATTACCGTATCCATGTCATTTCGACGATACACTTCTACGTAGCCTTTTACAACAAAGTGCTCCATACATTGATAATCTTGATATACCTTGTGATTATTTAATTCGTTTAATAAAGATAGATCTATTACAATTACCATTATCGATACGTATTCTTACTCTTCGTGGTGATTATCTTTCGTTAGATGATCTAGATATTTTCATTGATTTCTTTAAAGTTAATTTAAATTGTTTATCATTATATCTACAAAACAATAATTCCTTACCGGAAACAATACAAATAGTTTTAGATCGATGTCAATTTTTATATAGTCTTCTTGTATTAACAAATGATCCTGTATCGATGTTAATTCATGTACAACTTTGCGAATTGATTCAACAGCGATCACAAGCTAGTGCTGAACTTCGACCAACTAGTATTCGAATTTGGAATAAATAAAAACAAAATTTCTATCGTTCGTTATTCCTTAGTTTTTTTTATTTGTTTTCTAATTTAAATCAGACTCATTGAAAAACGATTGTGCTGATGTGAATACCACGCTAAAATATTGTAATGAAACAATGTTGTCTATTATTATTATTATTGTTCACAATGAAAAATCGAATTTCTAAAATAAAGTAAGATATGCTTGGTTGTTCTTTTGATCATCAAAAATTTGTTCAATAAGAAATAAATAAATCAATTTCGATTAAAATCTTATTTTTGATCTTTTAAAATTAATTATATAATCATTCATTAGAAATCCATGAAGACTAAATTACTCTATTAAATTTAACAAATTCTAGCACAGTTCTTTAAAGCAATTCTTTATTGTTATTGAAATCTGACAAAAATATCAATATTTCATGCACACATCGGCACGTGTATGTGATACATGCAGTTTTTCAAGTACTTTACTCTGAAGTTATCCTATATGATCGTTATTGTTTAAAAGTGCATGTTTATTTTTTTTTATAGATTTATTCATAGAACTAAAACGACGAACAACTAATACTTTTAGTTTTGTTTACACGTTCCTTACAACGGAAAAACGTAACAACATCAATAAAAATCTGTCACAATTGTATTCACTGTCGCCTCTTTCTTGTTCATAAGTTGTAATCATTTTTTCTGATAAATGAAAATACGCAAAAAACAACAACGGCAAGAAAAATAAATAAAAACAGAATAATAGATAAGTCTTTCGTCTGTGTTTTTGATTTCGCATTTAGATAAAAAATATCGGATAAATATATTGCACATAAACGATCGACGTCAATTAGAATTAAATCTAAAGATCCCAACTAAATAAATGATGTTTCATTAGCATATCGCGTACACTTGATAGAACATCTAATTGTCTATAGGCAGCTGGTAATTCAAAATCTTGTTGTAATGTAAATGAAAATTGTTGCAAAACTCGAAGATCGCATTTAATTTGAACCTATATAAAAAGAAAAGTAAATTATAAATAAAACAAACCTATTAGCACAATCCCTATGAAAGAAAAATATGGTGTGAAATAGAATCGCTATTGCTAATCGCAAGAGGATTATTTTATTCAATCTACGTTAAGAGCACATTTATTAAGTTTACTTTTATTTAATCCTCTTTAAATGCAATAAAGAAGTAAGCCATAATTGCTATACAATCTACATGAAAGCTTGTTTATATCAATGAGTGTTGTTAAGATATCTGCTGGCGGCTCAAAAGTTAATTTAATTTAGGACCAAAAGAAAATAAAAGTCATCTCAACAACTTACCCAACACGGTGATCGTAAAAATGACCAAGGTAAATACCATTTATTAATAATATCTGTACATGAGCATAATGTTTCTAACCATAAATGAAGAACTTGTTCATTGAGACCAACACATATAAATGATCGTAATTTAACATCCATTTGTACACGCGCAAGATTATGTGTATAATTAATTGAACGTATACATCGACATAATAATTCTTCGGGTGTTAAAATTCGTCCATCTTCATCCAAACGATATGTTTTACAAAGTACAAGTCGAGCATAAACACTATCGAAGTCTTTATTTATCGCATGTAAGGCTGCTTCTTCAATAAATAACCAAGGATGAGAAATACCACCTGCAAAAGCAAAACAAATTAAAATTTTTTTTTATAGGACTCAATATTATTGTAATAATAATGAAGTCTTTCGTATGTGTGACAGATGGTAGTATGAACCTTGTAGAATATAGATTGTAAATAAACATCGATATAAATCATTAGAAGTGCAATAGCTACCAGTTGTTAATGTATCAAGGTTATAATAACAACTGTTACTTGAATCAATCTTGCTATTCTGACTAATAGCTTATAGAAAAAACAAATACTACTAAATATTCGACTCGTTTCTATATCACTATTTAAATTAAATAAACCTTGAACAAGAAAATTAACGTCACCGTAACTTGTCGGAATCAATTTTTTATAACTTTTGTTATTGACAAAGAAAAACGATGAGACCTACTGAAAATAAATCTCATCAGTGTTCGCATCACTCTAATAAAATAATTTTCGTATTGAAAATTAAAAAATTCTTAAATTTAACATATCAATATAAATGTTTAATAGACGTAGAAGTCTTCTTTCTTTCAATATTCTTACCAAGCACAGTTGACGATTTTCTTAATCCATGCTCGAATATTGATTTAATGCATGTAGCTAATTTTCCTCGAACAAGATCCGATATATTTTCATTAACACTATCATCGCCCGCTAACGAATATAATTTCGATCGTTCATCAACTAATTGTACAAATTTCGCTGGAAACCATCCATGTTTTCCATTCAATTCTCCAATCCAACAATGTTCATCAGCCATAGATAAAATTTTTAAAATATCATTTTTTTTAAAGCCAAGTTCATTCGAATCTTGACATTCAAAATCTAATAAGGCTTTAGCACGTTTGCATTTCTGTAATGATATATCAGCATAATGTTCATGGTCTTTAACATGAGATTCAATTGAATAATCAACATTAAGATCAATATTTTGTTGTGCGTATCCTTCGGAATCATTATCTTTAAAATGTTTAGCTATTTTAAGTATAGCTTCGCGTAGATTAACAAGCATTTCAGTTTGTGTTATATTTCGTTCAATAAGTGCTTGATTGGTATTCGATGCTAAATTTGATTTATTACGAGAAAAGAAACTCGTTGATCGATCTGTCGATAGCAACTTTTGATTATGACGACGTTGTAAAATATCTTTCGGTAAATTTAATAGGTTCATTTTTGGATTTATTGTAAAACCTTCTTGTGACATTAATTCGGCTAGATATTTTTTCCTATATGTATCAATAGTTGTAGATGTTAAATTAAATAATTTTGGTAAATCTTGAAATATGCGTGCACTTTTACCGTATTCATATTCAAATAATTGTGGTAATTCGCATAGAAAATTAAATATTTGTGCACTATTAGTAAATTCAATTAGAATTTCTTCATATTGTTTTAAAATAACTAAACCTATTTGAAATAATATAATTGAACCATAAAGAAAAAAATAATCCCATAAATTATAAACAAATTTTGTATGAAACACATTTGAATAGAGAGTTAAAAACCATTGAAAACATATCAATGTTAAATCAATATCATGATCATTGAATAGTTTATGAATATTTGGAAGATATTGTTGGATTAAATAACGAAATACACGAATGTCGACTTGTGCACCAAACAATGAAACTGAATAATATTGACCTGGTAGAAGATCTTCAACAATCGAACACATCATCCAAAAAGCATCATCTTCTTCAAATGATAGTAATAATGTTGCACAAATAACACCCATACCCTAATATATGAAAAAGAAAATCAATAGAATTATGTGTCGAGAAAAAGTTTTGCTTTTGAATCAAATCTTTAAGCAGCAATTTAGTTTGTCTGTCGTGATTTTGTTTTTTGGTTCAAGAAACAATTAAGCAACATACCACATCTTTTTTTTCTATGTATTATTTATGATTTTAAAGTTTTGTCAAGCATTATTGAAATCTGAATTTGATAGCAAACAACGTTAAAAATGTTTTGATATTCAACAAAAGAAATCGGTTCATTAAAAACAAATATACTCTAGCTCGTTCGTTTTATATTTCTACACATCGGATTTTGTCAACGTTCAAATTCTTTATTTTCAATGTTAAAAACCTAATGATCTAGAATATCTTCACCTAATTGGGCATCGGCATACAGTAATATTCTATGTTGCTTAGAAAGGAGAATATCTGAAGTTTTCAGTAGCTACCATAAGAATTATGATTATTTTTCGAAGAATCAAAAACTAACTATCGATTCTTGAACACTTTTATTATCAGTAATAACTAATAAAATATACATGTTTGAGTCTTTTTTCATGATAAATTGAGAAACGAAAAATATTTTGACCAATGCATTTTTTAGATTTAAATAATGATAGAAGTGAAGAAAAATCCTTGTGCTTAGTCATAGAACCTATTTTTTTTGTAATTAAAATTGATTAAGAATTTATCTTACCTGACAGTATCCAATGTCTAAAAATATCAAAACGACAATTTTTTTAGATTAAACTTTGTTTCTTAGCTTCTTTTCTACCTGGAAAAAGCCAAGCTATTGCTCGTAGAACTCGTCTTAATCGAGATATTCCCGATGCATTCATTGTCATGAAACAAGCATTTGTTGGCAATGTTCTCAGAAGATCTTTTTCTATTTGTTTCGAATAAAGCTGAGCATCGTTATTACATTGTTTCAACATTTCAGCATAGGACATTTTAGCTTGATATTTTTTATGTACAGATCCGCTAAGGCACATCCAAATTTGCGCACGTATCGATGATGGAATGCCGCATGTTTGTTGTAAAAGTGTAGCAATTTTCTTATCTTGTCGCATTTGTTTTGGATCAATTTTTTCGGCAAGTTCTTGTTCTTGCAATGGCCAATGGACAACATCAAGTTTATATGCTGAATCAAGATGTGTAAGCCATCGAAGTTTTGCTTGTTCATTTTCAATACACGGCACTATTTCATAATGTTGTTCACTTTCTTTAATATCAATACGAAAACCGTATTCGTCATATATTGTTTGATCGTCAGTGTCCTGTAATAAAAGTTGTGGTGATGGAATAAGTGAATTAAGAAGTGCAGAAAATGGTTCGCCAATAAAAACCGGCGAATTTATTTTATGATGATCATTATTTATTTCATTTTCTTTGCTGCTCATTTGTGATGGCAATGATGCTGAAGGTGGAGGTGGAATTGGTGGTAAATATTTTGAAGTATAAGATTCGTTGTCATTTTCACAATAATTAGAAAAAACATGATGCGACGTCGATGAAAAATCATCAGCATCATTAAAGGCATTAAATATTTTTGTCATGATCGAAAGAGAAATTTTTTTTAAAGCAAAAAATGATGCACAGCTGTTTATGTTGCGAAGTTGATAAATATGATGATACTTATTTTATTTTATTTTATTATTGAAATATTTTACCGATTGGTTCGATGAATAAACGTTACACAAACACTGATCTGTTCTATTTTCTGGATTTTACTGCCATCTAGAAATCTGAAGTCTTTTTTTTTTGTAGATGTGACACAAATGCCTGGAAAAAAACCATAGTATGACATTTTCATTCTGATGTGTTAAAAATAATAATTCAGCTGAATTTTACGAAATCAGCTTCATTCACACATTTAAAGATTGATAAAAAATATGCTGCTAGTCTTTTTGTTTGCTGTCCGTTCAATTTTAGTAATTAATAAATAGGAAACTGATAGAAGCTGCCCGAGAAGAAAATATGAAAAATTAATTCATTGATAAAAACAGAAATAAAAATGTTAAATTTGTGATGATCTAGTTGATCGACCATGAAGATTCAATTGAAAATATGATGTGGATTGTACAGGAAATTTACAACACAGTTTATTAAAAATGTAACAAAACAAGTATTTATCTACTACTTCGAGCATACATACACACAACGAAAAATATGACTCTTTGTCAAACTGAAGCAAGGCAAGTTGATGGCGCGAACGAAGTAAAAATTTCAACAATCTTGCCATGCTGAAAGTAAAAGTATTTTTGTTTTCCATGGAGAATGTCTGAAATCAATAATTCATGTAAATTTCCTATTGGCCTACCTGTTAAAATATTTTGTTACATAGCCTGAATTCCAATAGAGAACTGCAATCTTACTAAATCATATTTAATTAACACTAGTTTCACACATGCAAAAAATATTTCTTCGAGAAGTTTGACTAATGACAAGATTCAATCGTGTATAATTACCGATGGTTTACAATCAGCATAGGCTTATGAAGATTAATTTGTGCAGTACTTTTGTTTTTCGTTTGCTTTTACTTGTGCACTCACTGCAGCACATGAACTCATGGAAAGCCCTCGAAATATGTCCATTAGACATCAATGTCTTCTCGGAGGAACCGAAATACCTGTTGCGTATGAAAAACAAATGTTACATCAAGGGTTCGAACCGGTTTTTTTTGCGTACCAACCAAAAAAGAACATTCTACATCACAGCTGTAAACAAAATCGGTAGGTATGTTTATTCAACGGCGAAAAAGTAGAAGTAAAGAAAAAGAATCCGTCATTTGCTATTCATTCAATAGCTATTATATTCACTCACCAGTCGCTTTCCTTTCATATATATATATATATATATAGTAAAAATGTCCTCTGTTGGCTATTGTTTCAATATATGTCAAACTATCGACAAAAATATAGTTAAGGAACGACGAACTTCAATAAGCGATTCTCAAACAAGTACTAATCTCACGAAAACTGGTACTTTAATATTTGGGCGTCGTTTTTCATTAAGTCATTTGGCACAGCCGATCATGAATCTTTCTTCTCAAAGTCAAAATGATCCATCATCGACTCCAAGTTCACCAGGAAACTGAACATAGTGCTAATCAACATTTATTGAGAAAACTGAATTTTTTTGTTTTTCTCTTATGACAAATTCTCTTCTTCATTGCACGTATATTTAACGAATAAAACGTAGAATAAGAGTAAACAACAAAAACGGAAACTAAGGTTTTTTTGTTTAACAAATGAAAACAGTTTTTGTCTTTTTCATTATGAGCCAACAATGATATTGTTGATGGGAATATGAATAAGTTTAACAAAAAATCCAATGAATCCCATAATAGCAAAACCGATAGCTGTTGCCATTGCAATCTTTTGAAATTCTAATATAGAAAACAAAACAAATTCATAGGATTAATCAATAATTCGACGAGACAAAGAAAAATAAATTAGAAATTACCTTTACGATCAGGTTTCGTACATTTTTTAACCAAGCGAAATGAATCTTTCATGAATTGTTTGCATGGGTCGGTGAATTGTTGTATTTGATCCATGATATTCAATAGCAGTTGAAATGGGAGTTGAAATAAATAAAAACGAATAAGACGCTTACTCTATAAACTAAACGAATTGATCAATATCGTAGAATACATGTATAACGGTGGCAAAGGACCTGATCGTTGGTTTCAACCAATCAGAGAATGGTAGTCGTCGATTGATGACGTTACTCTGCATTAATGCGTTGATATTAGAATAACAAAAATAATCTATTGAACATGTATTCTTTTTTATAAATTTTATTTATCAGTAGCTTTTGTTAATTTTTATTAATATTTTCTACATTTTATATGAAAACCATAGCAACTCCATAATAATTAATATGAAATGGCGACATGATTCACTTGAATTGATCTAGTTAGGATCGGAAAGAAATGAAGATGAACCGTGATCATCAATCAACTTGAAACTTAAAATCTAAATGATTCCAAAAAAAGTAGGATATTAAAAGAAAAGAAAAGTTTATTACAAAACGATCGAGATGGATCCAAACCGTGGACAAATATTACTTTCTTGTTTAACTACTTTTTATTTTTCGTGAATTGAATCAACAATGCATCAGATCAAGCAGAGATTTTTTTGTATACATCGTTTAATCAGAAACTAAGTTTTAAAAAACGAATCATAATTTATTGAAAATTAGCAATTGAATGACAATGCAGTGTGTTGCATAAAAATAAGCAAACTAAAATAAATAAATAAATAAATCTTTTTTTTTCTTTTATTCGTGTGAAAAACATGATTTCGATTGTTTTTTCAAGTTTTGTGTATAACACTAATGATGTGAGGATGAAGAAAATTATTTGATTGTTTTTCTCTAAATTAAATCAATTTTTTTCGAAATTTAATTCATTTGGTCGATTATTATTCTAGAAAACAAGACGTATCGATGGGCGATAATGATGTTTCTACTACTGTCGTACAATTAGGAAATCAATCAATAACACGTAAAAGTCGAGCTCACAGTCCTGGTCCATCGACAGGAAAAAATTCCAGTGATGATTGTCGTTTAAACAGAACTGCAACTGAAATCAATCGACCATCAGGAAAATTGCCAAATCTTCTTCCGAAAGCTACTGTTTTTAGTTCATCATCTGGTAATCAATATCATAAATCTATTTTTCTAGTAAATCCATGTTTGCCATAGATTCAATACAATTAAAACGCTATCGTTCACAATTGTCAAAAGATTTTTTTAATTCAACATCTACGAAATTTGAACGCCCAGCTACAAATATGAATGGTCAATCACGTCTACCAACATTATATGCATTGACAAGTGAAGGTGATCAGAAACGAATAGCTGAAGCACGTCGAAAACAAGTTCGTTTTAAAGAGATTTTTTTCTTCTTTTGACAATATTTGTCTTATTTATATTTCTAGATTTATGCATTGAATCATTTAATGCGTGAGTTGGAACAAGAACAATTTCATGAATTTTGTAAATCACATAATATCGGTACTAACAATAGTGAAGTTACGGTTAATAGTAATGAAGATATCAAGAAAGATTGATCAGTGTGCTCTCATTGTGTACATTTTTATTTTATCTCAACAATAATGGTTGATGCAGTAGAACAACAAAGAAGCATTTGTGATACTACTAGTCAACATAATTTATCCCTTTCTCTTTTCTCCATCGTTGTATTTGCATTGTTTTTTTTTTGTACTATTAAACAAATCAATTAAAGAAAATATTTATAGAATAAATTTTATATAAGAAGGAAATCATTGGCTTGCTATTGACTTTGTCAAAGTTGAAAATGAAATGTTATTTTTATTCAAAATTCGCTTTACAGATTAATGGGATTGAGTATTAAAAATAAAATTTGATAAATGATACTGTGATACTCACTTGTTACACCTGGAGCGGATAAAACCTGAAAATCGAACTGACATAAAAATTTATGGAAAGTATGAAATAAAACATATTGGATTTATTGCGTTGAAATATTGCAAGATTGTTCGATGCATAATCAGTATTGAATTGCGCTTCACGAGAACAAGTTCGAACACTATTTTGTTTAATTTCTATGGATTTTCCAAGAAACAAAAAAAGTTCATTCATATACGTTTTTGTGTTTACTGATAAACTACGTGAATCCTTCAATCATTTTAAAAGTAATATGAGAACATATTCTTTTATAATTGACGCAATATTTTTTATTTGAATACAAAAGACACAAATATAGTACATTGGTACAGGTCATCGAATATTTTATCCTATAAAAAAAAGTATATAAATATAGAAACTTACAGAAATACAACAGGATACATTCTATTCAAATGATGATATTGAAAGTAATACTTATTGCTATAGCTGCTATGTTGGGCTTTTCGTCCGCGGACATAGTCGTATATACTTCAGCCGGCTATAAATTGACATTGGTTAATGATGATATTAATTTTCAACAAGACACTAGACAACGATGTATTGATACATTCTTTGCTACAATGTGAATTTTGTTTAATCATTTGCAGCCTAAGATTTTTAATAAATTATAACGATCTAAATTTCAGGCCCGCAATGTGCAATCGATTCAATAATGCTGCATGCAGTCGTGATGTTCGCGTGACAATTGATCCTAAATATGATGCAGTTGCCTATGCATCTGGCAATTCTATTGTAATTAGTGCAGCTTGGCTTCGAAACAATCCACAAGATACAGATGTTATGACACACGAATGCATGCATATTGTTCAAAGTTATCCTGGCGGTGCACCAGGTTGGTTAGTTGAAGGTATTGCAGATTATGCTCGATGGAAATTTGGCAGAAACAATCTAGCTGCTAATTGGCGACTACCAGATTTTGACCGTAATCAACATTACACAAATGCCTATCGAGTCACTGCTCGATTTTTAGTGTGGTGTGAACAGCGTTATCCAAATATAGTTAATCAACTTGATGGAGCTTTACGTAGTAAAACTTATACGAATAATTCTTGGAATCTATTTTCTGGTGGAAGATCAGTGGATCAACTCTGGCTTGATTATTCTATTAGTCCACATATCTAAATGTGTAGCAGTTGAAAGATTTTGATTTTAATTTTTATGAAATAAAATAACGGATTTGAATTATTGTTACATGCTTTAGTGAACATCAACATCAACGTAATGATTTACTCACATCGAAATAAATGAGAGAATAGACGTTTCCAATAGAAAGTTCATTTATTTCACGTGAATACTGTTGAAATATTCCTTTGGCAGTCTAAAGTCTTGTCTTTTTTTGGCATCAAATACCTTTATATTCTAAAGAAACATATAAAGAGACAAAGAATGAGTAGTTTTCACTATTTCTTGGTTTGGCATAGTACTTGTATTTTCTAATTAAAGATTCGATAGAAGAAGAAGAATAACTTATATAATATACATATATGTTCTTAATAATTGCATGTCTTGTATTCAATCTATTTATACTTTTGATTTGCCTTCCATTATTGCCATAAGAACGTTGAATATTTGTCAGGTAACAATGAAATAATAGATAATCATAATTTCCATTCGCAACTACCTTCAATCACTTTTAATTATCGATACGAAATCATGTAACATCGTAGTTGTCACTTTTTAGATCTTTTTTTCTTTTCCTTTGATCACCAATATATTACAAATTTTATTCTACATGTAAAGTGCTACATATTGTCAGAAGATTTTCTGTACAGTAGATCTTTCTTGGGCCTTGGCATTACTTACAATGGAAGGTTGTGAACTGTTAAGCAGTAAAATTGACCTTGTTCCGGGGAAATGATCACTCTCATCTNACAGATAGACCATATTTTATATGATATTAAATTAGTCACAATATTGTTTTTGCGTTTCCATAAATAATTAAGTATATACGGATGCTGTTCCGATTGTCAATTTCATTCTATGTCGATGAGTTTTGCTTTGTGACCTCAATGCCAATTTTTCTTAGTAAAAAAACAAAGAGAATGATGACAAGGACAGACATTTGCCTGTTCTCAAAATATTTTGTTCGCAGAAACTTTTATCAAATCCTTGAGTAAACACTTCTTCGTCAGAAGTTTTATTTTAGAGGTGATTGACATGTTTGAAACTTGAAAAAATACAATAAAAATATCCACAGTGTCACTGGTTGTTCAATGCAATTTTAGTCTATACCAGTGACTTCTATGTAGTACGGGTATACGTATTTCTGCTCTCTCTTTCAGGTGAAACTATCCTAGAAGTCTATAAATTAAATCAGTGGAAAATAGTTTGAGCGCTGCAAGCAAACATATTGCGTTTCCAGGCGCAAAAATAATCGGTTTCTCTTAAGTAAATATTAACTTTAATAAAAAAAACTGTTTGCAAGTAATTCTTCAAGTTTATTCAATGTAGAACCCAATGATAAATATCAAGCCTTTGTAGTATTACCTGTGAAATTGAAAAGAACCTTGAAAAACAATGGAAACTATTTTTGGCGAGAAACAGATGCTTCTTTCATTCAATTGTAAAATGTCGCCTTCAGCGTTTATTGGTATTTTATCATTCTAAACTACAACTAATAAAAAATTAGTAGACGATTGTGGCGTTGCTTCAAAATTTTCAAAGAATCACGATCACAAAACTTTTGCCACACCATATTTGGGATTCTTTTTGTAAAATACCGCAAATAGAAAATGAATCACTTGAAATACTTATGAAAATTCATAAATATTGAAAAAAAAAGAACAGTGTTGAAATGACATAGAAAAAAGCAATTTAGATAAGATGATTGATCCTAGAAATTTGATTCTTACAGTTGTTCAGACAGATAAAATAGATCTGCTCTTTTGATTTCAGTATTCTATAGATTACTAATAGAAATACCATAAAAAAATTGAGATTATTTTGTGTCTTTATATGTCGACATTTCTAGGTATTGTGCACTCGATTCGTAGAATAAACACTCTTAACAAGTATTTCAACGTGAATTTCAACGATAAAGAAGACATATCTATACGACACATTTTTGAGTAATGTTTACTTCAATTGTATGATATCACACAATATAATGATTTATTGACCTAGCAAGTTCTTTCTTTTATTGGACTATGAAACGTATTGTTAATAGATAAAAACATTGAGAGTCAAGTGATTTTCATTCTTCGTCTTGATGTTAATAAAATTTATTAAAACACGCACTTCTAAAGTGGTTCGTATTTGTTCGACCATATTAAAGATACAATTATTTATTTCTTCAATTTTATTATAGTCCATATAAGAATAGTGAAATTGAAAATAGTTTTCGTGTCAAGAGCTATTCATATCATTGCCTGAGGTATAAACAATAAAAAGTAATCATCGATATATATATATATATACATATATATATGAAATATCTAAATAACTTCATATTAGACATGTACTACTAGTTGTTAGTATAGATTCATGTTTTTTTCTATAAGGACAGTATTATTGTAGGATTTCAGTATCTAATTGCCAATGAAACCTTGAAAAGAAACAATCATTTGAATCTTCGATGAACAAATACCGTTGTGCACATTAAAAAAATATTTTCACAACGTAAACGAGTGATTTACGTTGTCGATAAATTTCACATAATCAAAGAAAATAGAAACATTAGAAATTAATGCGTTCAATGCATGATAATGCTACACATATTTCTTTTTTTCCAAAGCCTACGATTACTCAAGTATATAATGTACTTGTTCAAGAACAAGAGAAAAAGAAAAAAAGAATCAATTCGATATTATTTACTCCTAGTATCCAGTGACATCAATCAATTAGTTTTACATTAAGATTTGTCCACTTCGAATCTCAATGTCATTTGTTGTAACAGTAGTCTACATATGAAGGACTTCATTTTTTACAATTTAATTGCACGAGGAAAAAACACCCTATCCTTCAACGTAATCTAAACGCTATTAAATCATACACTTGTCTTTGCTATGAATTAATACCTTCCGGTGACAATCATTGTCAAATGTCACTGAATTTGAATGAATGAATGCTTATATCCTTACGTGGGAATACAAGGGCATTTATAATTGTTATTGAATGTTCACCAAATTACTATCTAAATTGAAATTTTTTTCCCCATTACATTTGCATACATTATTCACTGAACCAATATCATTACTGTTGACCAACGTTAAGTTGGTCTTGAAAGTTTGTTCGTGTATATATATATATATATAGAAAGATGTGAAAATGAGATGTGGGCATAGAAAAGAGAAGGGCAGTGTCAGTAGTACATGCAATAAGACTTTTTTCGTTCTTTGTTCTTTTTTCTTCGTCTTCGTTGTCTTCCCAACTCTGTAACACATATGTGTTGAAATCACAATCACTACATCATTATAGTTTCTTTTTCTTATTTCTTTTTCTTTTTTTTTCTTTGTACATTACTCGTCTCTTTGTAAACCTTATTGCTTCATTCATTCATTTCTTTCCACCGGTAACTGGCATCGATGACATTTTTGTGATTCGACCGCAGGGAGCGCGTGCAGAAAGGAAAAAGAGAAATACACATGAGACTAAAAAGGACAAGGACTTCTAAGTCAATCGGAAATTGTCAATAGGATTTATTCTCGAATTAGGCTTGTCTGCTTCTTTTTCTTTTCTCAAAACTTTCATTCATACTTTGAAAAAAACACACACACACACACACACGGCGAGACATTTTGATAGGTAGGTTCAAAAAAAAAAAGAATTTGCTTGTCTATTTTTACATAGAACAAAGAAAAACGATGAATAGATTTTTATATTATTTAAATATTTGATTGAATGGAATAGGAAACAAATAAAATAAATTTTCCTGAGAGAAATACATTTACATTGAAAAATGTATTTGAATTAGTAAACAATTTCTTCTTTGCAGATTAATCATGGTTTAATATATTAATAAATAGTGGTCTACACGCACGGCAATGAATTTTCCGTGTGGACCGTTAGATTCGATCCAATTAATTGCACTTATTCTATTTGGACTTCTTACTCTGCAATGTCTATTAGGTATTGGTCTTGGCATTGGTTTTCTTCTTCAACCACCTTTGTATAGTACTGTCATTAATCTTAATTCTGCTTTTAATAAACAAGCCTATTTTTCAATTTATGCACGTTAGTATAAAAATAAATTTGACGTTTAATAATGTATTACTAGGATGAATTTCTCTTCTAGCTCATATTCTGTTGATAATCGGTAGTGGTATAGTAGCGTTACCCATTATCTTGGGTATATTTGGTATATTAAGGCGTCGTTGGCGTTATTTAATGATTTGTCTTGCTTTACTTTCACTCTATATGGCATGTTTGTCAGGTGCTGTTGCATCAGGTTTTGCCTATTTCGATCAACTTGAACGAAATCTTCGAAGTGATTCTATAAACTATTCAACAAATACTATTTGGACACAAATTAGTTCAACGTATAATTGTGCTATAAGTAGCTGTGTTACACAATTAGACAATATAATGCATGAAAATAAACAACGTATTGGAATTATTTCATCAGTTTTTCTACTTGTACCATTATTGACATGTATTACCATCATAGCTCATATGCGTCGCGATGTACTTTACTTTAAATGATGGTACACTCACACTCACACACATACACATATACATATATTTATATATGAATACATTAATTCTTGAAGGTCATAAATCTTCACGATTCTCGATCTCATGCTTTTTTATGCTAATACTTATTCTCTCTCTCTCTCTCTGTGTCACTCGTTTTCTCTCTATATGTACACATATACACATGTAGTACGGTGCTAGATTTGTATAAATATATGTGTCTATGTTGTTCACATTATGAGATATACATCACTACTAAAATTCAATAAAACAAGAGAGGGAAAAATGTAATGATGTGTTCTTTTTCAATCGCTATCGTTTATTGAACTGGTAATTGACCGTGATATTAAAGTTTTTCTTTTTCTTTAGATCGGTTATATAATAGTTTATAGAAAGAAAAAAGAAATGAACAGCTTAATGTGTGACATCGAGAAATGAACCTAATGTAAAAGTAAACTGCACCGGGAGAACTGTGCTTTTGTATAAATGCATTTGTGTCAATTTTAACTTCTCTTTATTATATTTCGTCATTCGTTGAACATTGATCATAGCGAGCCAAAAGCTGTCATCATGAATTTTTTTTATTGAAATCTACATATATTATTTAAATACACAAAACATATTTCATTCATTCAAATTTGTATAGTCAAGTTGAATTAATTTAGAAAAAAACAGGTTTGCACTGACAAAATGATGCCTTACGTGGCTGTTCGAACTAAACAATTTGTTGATTCTATTCATACTGTATAAAATGAATGTAAAGTATAGATTCTCATTACATAGTAATCTTATGAAAATATCATAGTGATTGTTTCGTACTCAATTTGTATGATTACATACTATGTGTGATTTATGAAAACTTAATTACATTTATAATACCGTCAATAGAACTATCTCTTCCTCTTTGTCTTCTTATTTTTTACTTTTTCTTTCATTATTCATTTACTCAATTTTGTTTTGGTACAAGCCTTACTTACTCTCTAGCAGATATGAAATAAAAGTTTATTATCGTACCCTACGAGTATTATCGATACCGATATGTGTCTAGACGATATAGGCTTTATATCGTATAACATACATTTTTTGGTTTTTTTCTCTTTTGTTTTATCAATAATCATAGTAGTTGTAAAATTATTTGATACTCATTGAACTGTCATTTTAATCGTAACAAGTGACTAAAATAATTGATGTTGTTGTTGTTGTTGTTGTTTCGTTTTGATCTAAGATTTACTACTCATCTACATCAATATGAATCTTATGAGCTCAGACAAACAAATTTCAATGATCAAAAGAAGCAACTAGTGATACAATAACATGATTTAGGTAAATTAGAATACGAATATTTCAATAGAATCTTTAAGTATTAGATTTTATTTTATATATTCACATGATGACTAGGATTAAAGTATAAATAAATGTGCTCTGTTCTTGTTGTTATCGAAAGCATTCTCATCAGTGTGGACAATCATTCAACTACGCGTATATACTCAACTATTCATACAATAGTTAAATAACAATAACATTCACGATTGTTACTAAAAATTGTTTTGATTTACTTGTAATTTGTTTCACAAGAATAATATAATACAAAGAATTGCGTTAGTCGATTAGCACTTTTCCTTACTGACAGCATTTCTGTTTGTCAACGATTGTGATTATGTAGTTCAAGTGTTATGAGCATCATTGAAAGGTGTTAATTTTTAGCAGTCAGATTTGAAACACTACCTGAAATTACATATACATCATTATAAACGTCGTCAGCTGTTTTATGATGAACTGGTGCAATAGAATGATCTTTAATTTATTTTCCATGCAACGCCTGAGGCCGTACTGATAATTTGTTAGCCGTGGTACGGCAGAGCAGTATACAAATAATACGAGCGTAGAAAATTATAAATGTGCTTTGATTGTTGTCAAGGCGAAAAGGTGTTTTATTTTGTGAATAAATAAAAAGGAGGGAAAAAAAATACTTAAATCGAATTATGATACAAATAGTGATTTTTCTTGCTTTTTTTGCCATTTAATATGTATCGTATTTGTATTAAATCTTTTAAAACGTATAGAAATATTTGCAAACATAGACGTCATCGAACTATATAAGCGATAAGTTTATATGCATATTTATAAGAGATGCGGAATGAATAGAATTATAGCTAAAAATAATATTCTATTTTAATCCTATTCTACAAATAAGCCTTCTAGCTATATCTTGAATGTGAAGACCAACTGAATAAGTTAACTGATAGGTGTAATAACCAAAAATCAGACTTCAATCTGCTCAGCAGACTTCCTTTTTCTATCTTTTCTTATGATTTATATCAATATAAAAACAAAGCAAAACAAATATATTTAATTCAAAGCATGTATATAATATCCTCGAATTCTATCAAGAATGTTGATTAAGCCAACCTTGCCGAGGTAAATTAAGTTGCCGTTGAAGTCGCATTGCATCACGTCGTTCACGTTCACTCATTGGTTTTCCTTTTGTATTGGATCCATTACTAAGCGCAGATGGTATTCTTGCAGGAGCGAGACTCATCGCCGAACGTGCTGAAAAACGAAGTGTTGATGCTTGTGGAATTGATTTCGCTGTTTGTGGACGTGCAATGACTAGAAAAATTAAGAAAAAGAAACTTGATCGTTTTAAAAACCTATGAATATAAAAGAAATAAAACTTGGTTCAGTTGTTGGCGATGGTATAACTTCGGATTCATCAGAAATATCAGAATGCTCTGATTGACGTGATCCACTCTAATTGAAAAAATGAAAAACGAATAATTTCTTTAGCTTTTAAAATAAGTTTTACTGAATTGATAAGTGCTCTTTGATATAATGGAGAATGATTAGTTGTTCGTTGAAAAAATTCCCGTCCAGCAAAAACAAAATAAGGTTTTGGACGACTGATTGGACTGCCAAGATGACGTACAACATGATCAGCAGATGCTGGCCGATAAAGATGTTTTGTTGCACGAGGTCGAACGCTGGATTGCGAATTTCGATTTAAAATAGCCGGTGGTTTTTGCATTTCACTCTAGAACATACCGAACAGAATATGTTTTTTTTCTCTTTCTAATACAAATAAAAATATAATTACTTGATGATAGCGAAGCATATTGTTGAAAATTTGTTTTGAATTTTGTCCTCTGATTGGATCAATATGACTCTGTTTCAAAAATGGTTGAAGATATGTATTTCTAACAAAAAGAAAATCATAGTTTAGTTTCTGTTTTACTAAATCAAACGGTTTTTTTCTTCTCATACCGAACAGCTACTTGAACATTTACTTGCTGACCATCTAGATTTTCTTGACTTACTGAGCTCACAATACTTTGCGTTTGCTAGAAAGATATAATTAGAGTTGATAATTATTTTGAAAGATTTTATTCACTTTCGATTCCATTTCGTCATCATCGGCAATTTTTACTGTTTTTTTTGTTGATGAACGTATTGGTGGTTTCCTTTCAAAAAAAGCATTTGGTTCAGCGTCAGAATTGATCCCTTCAAATGTAAAAATAGATATATATTAACCGAGAAATAATCATATAACTAACCAATAACTCGAGCTAAGTGTGCAGTAGCTGTTTCATCACCATGCCAAGCACTAAACAGAAGCCATAAGAGGATTTTTCTGTTAAATAACAATAATATTCTACTTTTTTGTTAATACAAGAAGACAGTTAAGCTGTTGAGTTAAACTTTGAATTTCTTGTTTAGCTGTTTTCAATTGTTCTTGCAAAATTACGTCTGATGCTTGTGCACCTGGTACGTTTACTTCATCCATATTTATTAAGTATAGTTAATCAGTGACTGTTAATTAGGAGAATGTTTTAAGATTTGATGATGTACAAGTTGCGTACACACATACACGTCAAGGCAATTTGTGTTTAATATTTTAAGACGACAAGAGAGAGTGAAATCACAATTTTTTAAAGTTTTTACTTATGTGAATGTGTGTGTGTGTATGTGTGCACGTCACCATGTTGACAATCGCGGCAGCAGTAATGGTGTTTCGCGTTTTTCTCTCTTCGCTCTTCTTTTCTTTCTACGATTCTTGTTTATTTTTTAAGCATCATACAGTTTCAGTATAGTACATTAGAATTCGCCGTCTCTTGTTCATTATTCTTCCTTTCGTTTTATTCAAAAGAATGTGTCTGTGTGTGTTAAAAGAGGTGACTGAGATTTTCTTTTTTCCACTTGAAACAATTTAAATTTAAGAACAATCATGATCTCGACATCAGTTTTTGTTGTTTGCAAACATCTTTAGTTAAAAATCAAAACAAAAACATATATGATATATTTTCAAAGATAATCTATTATTACCCATTTATTTCTTTAATAATAATAATAATAATAATAATAATAATAGTGATCGTTAGATTATTTTTTCATAACGAAAAATGAAATTAAAAATCGATTATTAGAAATAATAATATAGACCATTGCGCATTATTTTTTTTTTTCATTGTGCAAAAGATAATATTGATCAACAACAATTTAGTATGGCTCTTAAACCTTTACGAACATACTCCAAATTCGTTCGAGTATCATTATCAATGAGTTATTGCAATTTTATTTTTACAAAGAAAAGGTAAAGATATAATGGCAAAGTGGGTCAATAGGCAGCCAGCTAACCTTGAGAAAAACCACTTTCCGACTCGTAAAATATTCATTTGAACAAATGAATATATTAACAACAACATCACAAGTACTATATTTAATGAAATCGGTTTCGCACTATTACGATTCATACGAAAAGAAAAATTTTAATCATGATTTTGCGTTTACTTCTGGCGACAATTTTGCTGGATTCTTACGCCATCAATCCATACACATACATATACAAGAGAAAAAAAGAATTCACTGCTGTTGCTTTCTTGTTCTATGAATGCGGGTCTCGTTGTCAAAGATCGACAAGCAAGAAATGGTAGCTTATACATGCATCAACACACGTTGAGTGATTGTTAGAATCGACCTGATGATGGAAAGGCAGGGGAAAGAAACGAAAGAAAAGAAATCGACACTTTAGGTTTATTAGGTTTTTTTTGCTCCTTTTTTCTTCATTTTCTTCTGTTATTTTGTTATTTATTCACATCTTTTTAATCATCTCGTTTGGTTTCATGAACGAATGTATCAATATGTGTTTGTATTTTTATCATAGTGCTGAATCCGAACAAGATTGAAGGAAGAACTTTCCTTCTATTAATTATTAAAAAAAAAAGAAGAACCAATATTATTATCAGCATCTTATTTTATCCGTAGATCGATGTCTGAGTCGACATCAGTTGCCGATGTGAATACGACTGATAAGGATCTCTATCAAAATGTTGATGGTTCAATTGGCTCCAATGAAGACTTGCCAATGCCGACAACAGATTTTGAAAAAGGTCAGTTATCATCCAGTAATTAGTCTATTTAGATATCATTATCATTTTTATCAAATTTATTTTTAATGAGTATGTAACTTTATTCACATAATAATAATAATAATAATAAGAAATGAATGATTTATATGGTTCTGTCAAATTATTATTTTCTTTTGTTTTGAGAATCACATGTAACTATGCAGTTGCATTTCGGAAGTGGGCACGATGTAACTAAGAAAGAAGAGGTTTTTTATCCTTGAATAGAAAAAAAAGGAACCCTCGGATTCGATAGTGCTCCGTCTAGATTTTCTATATCGGAGAAGTGATATCAAAACTATGGAACGATCAAAATATGCTTTTCGCAGCTGCAAACACATTTTGAGTGTTGCAGTAATCAGAAACTTTGGCAAGATCAATTTAATCTTCGAATGGGTGTGGTCCACTCGAATCTCATTTTAGTAAAATAAAGTAAAAAAACTTGGTACATACTTTAAGTGAACTGCTTACTTTGAGTTATGAAAGAAATCTATATATATATTGTTCATATTTGATCATTGTTCGTAGATAAAACCAGTTTTTATCGAGTATTTTTTAATCAAGTCATGGAATAGATATATTTCTTTGTCTTCTCTAAATTACTGTTGATCATGAAATATGATTAATATTTGATTTGGTAGTAGAAGAGACCTTTAAATATTCCGAGTAATTGAGACTATGCTTGTAATAACAAAAGGAAAAGGGAGTAGTCATTTTCTTTTTTTCTTCTTAATCACTTAAGAATGCAGTATTTGAAGAAGTACATCAAAAGGCAAACATTTTTCTTTGTATTCGCATAAATATATATATATTGTTTTGCTTGTATGGAATCCATCTTTGTTTAAATGGAATAATGTTTTTTTTATCGAGAAAAAAAAATAATAGTAAAATGAAACTTATTAGAATTTGCGAGTAGCATTATAAAATGAAAATAATAAAGATAATACAAATCGAAAGTTTTTCTTAATGTTCATTAACTGATCGTATATAATAGACCGATGGGTTTTTAGTTGGTTCAGGAGTTCTATTTGTTAATTGTGGAGTTGATGCATATCGTCGTTGGGGAGGAGGACGATTTCTTTCATTTCGAACAATTCTTGGAAGATTTTCATTTGAATATTGTTCATCATCGTACGGTATTGATTTACCTGGTGGAGGTTTCCTATAAACTCTCTGCACACCATTTGGTTCCGATTCCATGATAGGTTTTCGTGGTGAAAGCTCCACATGATTTCTTTTTGGCATTGGTTCTACATTACTTCTGCGTTGAAACGGCTCGTAAGGATTTTTTTGGCGCATAGGTGCATTAAGATTTCTTCGCGGTGTAGGTTCATCGTAAATTTTTCGTGGCACAGACTCATGTCTCTGAGGTCGTCTATTTTCATCAGCATGACGAATTACTTTAGGCGGTGGAGTAATACCTTCTTGTGACATTGGAATTGGAGAATCTAATTTAAAATGATGATCATTAGTAGGTTTTCCTACAATATGATACATTTCTGGATTTTTTAGTGGTGACGACGGCGGAGACTGATTTCTATCATTATGTCTGATTCTTTGTTGACGATCGACAATCTCCGTATCAGAATTGATTTGACGTTTTGGCCCCGAACGTTTTGTCTCATTTATAGGCGGTGATGGAGTATGAGCACGTCGACGTGCAACACGTACTGTACGTCCTGGTGGTGGATTCATACTTTGCACAATATAACGCCGAGGAGGTTCTGGTGGTGGAGAATAATCTTGAGGAACCATTTGACCTTCTCTATCAACATAATAATAGGGTTTTGAACGAGGCAGTGAACGATGAATAACATCTTCTTCTGATGGTGGTGATGATGGCGGAGGAGCACGCCGAATTACTTTTCTTCGAATAACAATTGGTTGTTCTCTTGGCTCATCATAGACAACTCGACGTGGTCGAGCTGTTGGTGCAGGTCGAACTATTCTTCGAGCATGACGTGGTGTGCGTTCATCATCCATTTCATAGCTAGATTGATCCTATGACGGTATAAACGAGAAATAAATAAGAAAGATTACATATTAGATGAAGTTACTTCATCATTAGGTGGTTCATCTCTATTCGAACGATATGTAAGCCCATCGTCGTGCTTTGAATAGTAGAGTTGTTTTGGTGGCGCTTTCCCGTGACGAATATCATAGATAGCATCTTTATCACATATTTCACATAAACCTGTTTCAGGATCGATTATATGTTTACCGTAGTGACCCATTTTAAATGATTCTTATTCGTAATATTAATGTATAAATACAATTCGTTTTTCTTTGTTTCTTTCAATAATTTACCGTTTAAATAGTCGATGTCACGTTTATCGTATTTCTTCTTTTGTCTATTTTTTTTTGTTGTTGTGCCAGCAACCGTTTGCAAGTTTTCAACAATTTATTCGCTTGTTCGGCTGAAAAAACTTAGAAGCTATGTAAAAGCAATCGATCGTCATTTTTTTTATTTTTGCTCATTGGCTTCCATGTACTTTTCATTACTCCGTCCTTCTTTTACTTTTCTCTATCTTTCTGTCGCTTTCACTCTTTAAACGACATTAGAAAGTATGACTAAAAATATTTTTTTAAGTGACGCGAGATTGGCTATCGACTTTCATTTACTCTCTCTCTCTCTCTCCCTTGGGATATGAACTGATTTTAAAATAGAAATTCATATTAATAATAGTAATACGGCTTCTACTTATTCTATTTCGTTCTATGTCTATTTAGTCGATCGATTAAATGATACAGACGATGAAACATCATCTCCAACTCCACCAAAACAACAGCAACAAACTGGTTTGTTCTACAATTTGTTTTTAGAAATCTGAAAAAGATAACAATTCAAAGAAATATTTCTTATTTTGTTCTAAAAAATAGGTTCATCATTGGGTGCATCAAGTGATGAACAAAAAGAGCTTTTCAAGCTCACATCAGCAACCGGAAAATCACCTATGGGACTAAAAAGACGGAAAACTCAAAATACTACTCCATCACGTCAACAAAAGTCAACGAAAAAGTCGACTACGTATGATAGCTATTCAAAGAAAAAAGCGAAGACATGAAAATTTATTAATAATTTTTTTTTGAAGAATAAGCGTTCAAACGGAATGGACATGGAAAGACATGGAAATGCTTGAACAATATCGAGGTATGCATTTGTATTACCGAAAGTAAACAAAAGATGAATCTATTATTATTATTATTATTATTAGTTCGAGAAGAAAAACCGGAAACAGTAACCACCGAAGAAGAACATGAAGAGTTAGATCAAGAAGTTGCTGTTGAATCAGAAGTGCCACTTCCAAAAGTTGCAACAGTAATTAAAATCAACAATTAAAATGCTTTTTTTTATTGTGTTTAATTATTTTTCTTTTCAAGACTCCTGAACCAGCTGAATCTACAATTAGCTCGTTACCGGAATTGCCAATTTTAAATTCAGTCGGACCACCACCTATTTTACAGGTTCAACCGAACGCTTCTTTTATTTCTGCATTCTCTCTAACATATTCATATAAATTATTTTCATTCTAGTATTTTCCTGAATCGAAACGAAAATCAAGTGACGCGTCTCGAGGAAGTGAGCAAGCCATTGAAGCTGAATTACGTGAACTGGGTGTTCATATTCATGGGCATGTTCCATGTGAATTCTGTGGCGAACAATTACTTAAATGGCCAACGATTATCGAACAAGAAAAATTTGCACCAAGTCAAGTATGAATTTATCATAATTATATTGACACGTTTTTTTCAAAAAAAAATATTATTCATCTTTTGTTTTCGTTTTAGTTATTTTGTTGTAGTGAATATCGTGAATTTGTTGAAGCTGTACTTGAAATGCAAAGAGAAGAAAATCATAAAATTGATGCAAAACAAATTGATATACAGCCACATGCAAAAGTTCGTAGCCGACGCGCTCGACAATTAGCTGAAGAACGAGCTAAAACAAGGTCTGCCCAAAAATAAAATTTGTCATATTATCATCGTATATTTATATGTATATATATATATATATTAAAATATCAGAGTTTGGGAACGTCATCTAGCTGAACAAAAACGGCTTGAAGAACAAGCACAGAAATTAGCATATGCAGCTCAATCCAAACCCAGTGATTTGCGTATGTAGATAAATTAATTATGTTTTCTTCATATGTTCTTTTCTATCAATTGAATCGTATCAGAATCAGGTGGAAGTACTGACGTGAGTCAATCACTACATAAAGTAGCGGACAAACGTGCAGCAGCAAAACTTATACAAGAAGATTGTATATATTTAAATATTGTTTGAATACTTTTTTTGATATCTATCACACTATCCACAGAGTTGTTTTTATCCCTAAAATTACACATTCACTATATTGTGTGTATTTGATGTATACATACACTTGTGCAGGACGTCAAGCACATAACAATGCAACACGAAGGCATAACGTCGTCACTGCAACAAACAAACAGAGCGATGGAGCATCATCGAACGATGCAGCTGAAAGTATAATAATAATAATAATAATCATAAACATAATCACAATCATAATAATCATAATCATAATCATAATAATAACAATAATAACAATAGTATTTATGCTAGAGTAATTTATTGTGTGTGTAGTTGGTGCTTAGTTGTCATAGTTTTCCCCGTTGATTTCGTGAATCCATTTTTCCGAGACATATGCTTATCAAAACATACTCGGAAAAGATAAGAGGAAATTGGATTCTATACTTTATATATGCATACAGGAAGACCCCATCAATTAACTTCACATCGTGGTGTTTCGTCAACGACTAGTACCTCACCGCCGCCGAGTACCCTTGACCCGGACTCGGCTAGTAAGTGTGCTTGTTCAACTAATAGTCATGTGTCATTCATTCACCAATCTGTGTGCATTTTCAACATAACTTATTTCTAATCAGTACTAATAATCTTATTTATTTTGATAGTACTAACTGGAAAGTTTCTTCTTTTTTCTATCTCTCAATAGTGGCAGCAAAAATGAGAACTTTGACATATCAATTATCAAATTTGAAATTCGTTGAAGAAGGCTGGACACTACAAAGACCACCTGATTTTGAAATAAGTTCCGATGATGACAGTGATGATGACGAACAAATACTTGTACCCAGAGATCTTTCATCTTCAGCACTTAAAGTAAATGAATACGAATTTATCATTGATATTTAATATATCAAAAATATTTGTGTATTATCATATTTACTTTTTAATAGAAATTCGAAAGACCACTAATCCAAAGATTTTATAAAGATGGATCTAAAGCAGCTATTCTCTTTCCAAATGGAACAGGATGTGTTTAGTAAGTTATGATTGTTGAAATTTTTCTTGCTCAATCATTATTCATTTTGTCAGTTATCCATCGGGTAATGTGGCTATTAGTATCTCAGAAGTTGCTCGTGCTATGCATTTATATACTGCATTTACTGACGAACCAACACTTTCAGGAAAACAACTTGCTCAATTTGATCCATTTGGAAATGGTTACTGTAATTTTACAAATGGAGACTTACGGTATATAAATTTTTATTTTTAAGAATCATTAAGAAAAACCGGAAAAATTTCTCTATTCTACATTCTTTGAAGTAGTAAAGTTATTTTAGCTGGTGAATTTATTAATTTAACCAAAAGAATGTTCTTCAAAAGCAAAACTTGTTCAATTCATAGTTATTTTGTTTTTTTATTTGTTTATAGATTACAATTGACAGCACTTGAAGGTGTCGAGTTGAATATTGATGGCGGCCGCCGACGTCGTTGGAATTGGTGGACTAAAGTGAATACATCTCTTGACGCACATGTACATGCACCACCCTTTCAACCTATTTTATTTCATTTAAATAATGAAATTGTTATAAAAATATGTTCTCAAGAAAAAATCTATATGAAATTTTCTACGGAACTTGTTGAAATTAAATTTAAAGTTGGTGCTAGATTAAAAGTAAACGATTAAATGAATACTTGAAAATCCATTTTTTTTCCCTTGTATTTTTTCTTTAGGTAAACAATGTGAATAATCTGCCATCAACACAAAAAACTGATCCGTATGAAAATCTTTTAAAAAAGAAAAATATTATTTTAACGTAAATCCATTTGATCTATTATTTTGTTTATTTAACTAAATAATATGCATTTTTATTACTTATAGACGTTTGTTAAAAAATATTCAAAACGAAGCTCAACAATATATTAGAAGTCAAGAACAAATGAGAACTGCACAACAAACAACTATAATCAGTCTTGAACAACAAAATCGTACAAAACATGCAGTGAAACAGAGTTTGTTTCCGCCGATAAAACAAAATGAAGAGAAAATTCAAAATAATCGCAAAGTTTATCGTAGTATCATTGTCACGTAAAAGCCCAAGTATCAATGGCCTTGCCAATTGACTACTGATAAAATAAAGTTTTTCTTTCTAGTGTATGTAGTGTGTGCAACTTTATCTTTCCTATTCGACGTCTTTCTCTCTCTCTCTCTCTCTCTCTCTCTTCTCTCTGTCTCTCCCTGTCTCTGTCTCTGTCTCTCTTGCACTCTTTTCTAAATAAACTGAAGATATTTAATCTCTTACTTGAATCATTTCTTTTCACCATTTTGTCTCAACTGACATTCATAAAGCATCGAACGAAACAATGCGGTTACTTTGGTTGTATACACTTGCATTGATATTGATCTTTGCATGTATTTTTCGTAAGAGGTTTTTTGAAATTCATTTTCTTCTGTATTATTATCATTGTGTCGATTTTGTAGAAGATGTCAAGGGTGATGAACAGAAAAAAAAAGGTTCCGGAAAGAAAGATTCATCAAACCGTGATGCCAGTCGAGGTGATCAAACACCTCAAGTTCGCCCAGGTCCTCCTGGTCGAGATGGAAGTATACCATCTACGGGTCGAGATGGTACTTTACCAGCTAGCGACCATGATAGTAATCTACCAGCTGGTCGAAGTGAAAGTAAAACTCCTTCAAAAGATCGATCACCATCAACCAATCGCGATGGTTCAAATGATCCTAGTTCATCATCAGGCAAACAAAGCGGCAAAGGATCTAGTCCTGATCGAAAACAAAAAAAGGATAAAAAGAAAAGTCGTAAAAATAAAGGAAAGAAAGATCGCAGTGGCAAGAAAAGTAAACATGGTGGCAAAAAAAGTAAACATGATGGCAAAAAGAGTCAAGACGGCAAGAAGAATCGTCATAATTAACTCTATTTATTATTTTTATTATTTTGTAGTTTGCAGAAAAACAACTTTTTTTTCTTTAAATTGAAATACAATCGCCATAACTATCTTCATAATGACCGTTTGAACATTTACATCGTGAAAATGAACTGCTCAATCTTTGACATGTAGAACGTTTAGGCGCACATTGAAAATAACCTTTGTTACAGCATAAAGGTGCATTGTGTACCATTAGTGGTTCTTCGCCTAGTCGCATATCTCCGCAATATGCAATTATATCCAATTTATAAAATTGTCTAAAAGAAAATTTTTTCTTTTAATTTTGAAGGCAGACATAGTCAAAATTCGAATTAATACTTACGTTGTTTTTGTAATTAAATGAAAATTTTTATTTCGAAATTGTTCTTTCGTACGATTAGCCCATCCATAGATCATTAAAGTTTTAGCTATTGTTTTGAACCAATCAGTTTTACATGTTCGACATGTTATATTTTCTGAATAGAGACTCACATCAGTTAATTGATAACCATTTAAATGAAATAATTCTCTTGGAAATACATTTATGGTTCGACTACCAAAATGAATTATTTGTATATGTGATAGATGATTTAAATTATCGACATAGGTGAGCGGGAAATAGTTTAAACTAGTAAATATATGTAAATACCGTAAATTATTTAGATGTTCTATTGATGGATAATCAATTAGAGAATGCATATCATCAAGTATTAATTCAGTTAAATTAGATAGACTTTCTAATGATGATGGTAAGCGTTTAATATTAAGATCTATAAGACGAATAGTTTGTAATTGATAAGCATCAAGAAATATATCATCAGGTAAAATTGATATGACAAATTGTGTATGAGTTATTGAAAGAGTACGTAGTGTACGACAAGAAAACGCTCGTGAACCGACCGAATGAATCTTTGATGATTCAATTAATAAACCTAATAAATATTGTTGTTGATATTGTCCACATATTTCTCTATCAATATGAAGATTTGGACTTTCAGTAATTTTTAATGGTAATTTTTTTTCTGAAATATCTTTTATTTGTAAAAGATCATTTGAAAGTGAACGAAGATTGGAGCAATGATAAGTTAATGAATATCCATAACTTCTTTTATATCGATCATAATGAATAGTACAATTATGTTCACTTGATTTTAATGCCGGAATAAGAAATGCAAGCAATAGACAATGAAAAGAAGTCAACTGTTGAAAAAACATTCCTATGCAATGATGAAGAATGCGAAGTATTACAGCTCGCTTTTATTTTATTCATTTTTATTAGTGTCTGATAAGACATGATCAAAATGTTTCCAGATGAGGTCATTGATTATGATGAAATTCAATCAGAATTAACAAGTTAATTATAACATGTTACTTATAAAGTTCATTTTTTATGATTTTATTACATTTGTTCACAGGCCAATAAGGACGATTTTCTTTTTATATAGCTTCTATCTTTTTCTTATCAATAGAGATGAATTTGTTTTGTTGTCGAGTTCATTTTGGATGCTCTAAATGGCTCACAAGACAATCATAGTAGACGAAAATAAAACGGATTATATTACATATATATTAGTTTAATACTTGATACAAATAGCATAGTCATTTGTCGGCTAAGATACGATGTGAAAAATGAATAGGATCAACAAGGACGAGAAGATTCTAAAGGTCAAATAAAAAAAATAGTATGAAAGAATCAAAACGAACGAAATGAATCGCCGTGCTTATCAAATATAAGCTACGTGATGTCAACAGTATGATTCTATTGAGAGATAGCGATTCTTTTTTTTTAGTACTGTAATTAGATTATTTTTCACCACAAAAAAAATAAATCGGACTTTTTAAGTAACGGATCAATAACAAGTAGAAATAGAAGTTTTCCTTTGTAAGTTTAGTTAATCAATAAAGAATGTAAAGTAGTCGAAGTGTGCCTCTCATGCAAATCAAATAGCCACAAACAATCAATAGTAATCGTATTTTTGTATGTTTTCATTAATTTTGATAGTTTCAAGGCCATAAAAAGTATTTGTATTGATTTCAAAATGAGTGGCTTATTTTTACTTTATTATCATAGTCGTGCTCAACAGGAATATTTTAATATTATTTGACATTCTCATATGAAATATAATCTATGTAGTATCGTTTGATGATTAGAAGTAATTTACTTTGAACAATTCTTATACATAACGTGTGATAAATATAAGGTGTCTCAAAAGTGTGTCTAAGAGAGTGCGCTTGAATATCTTTTGTAAAAAGCAAACAAATCTATTGTCTTCCTTTTATAATCTAATTGTAAATTTTACATTTTATTTCATAGAATACGATTTACAAAGAATATTCAAAAAGGTTACCAACAATTGAAGTGCATAGAAGGATGATTTTCGAAACCTTTTCAAATTATAATACGGAAAGTTGTCTTTTTGTCTAATAATTGATTGTCGTCTTTGGTGTTCATTTTTTAATTCAATCATGTCTTTATATATGTCATGCACGTATAAGTTTTCACATGATATTTATCAACTGAAACATTTCAAAGAAAAAAAATTTCGTCCTAGAGATTGCGTAACAGACTGTTTTATATAGACATTCGCTCATCATCTATTATTTTGACGCTATCAGCACTTTTTTCTACGGTTTTTCAAAGCTTTTGAATTTGTTATGTATTTAAAACAAAATTGATTTTTCAAAAGTTTTTCTAATAAATTCTATGTCTAACTTACGTGAACTGCATTATACTTGTGCTCTTCGCTTTTACAAAGCTATCTTTTTTCTCATGTTTAAACTCAGAAGTATAATCATTTATTTTCAAAAAGGAAAACCAAATCAGATAGTTTCACGATGACAATTTAATAATATTGACGTTCTTCTCGTAGATTTTTGGACACAGTTTTATATAGATATCTGAAAGTCAAATGGAATATCTACGTGTAGTAACGCAAATCATCAATTATCGTGGTCAGTTGTGTTTTGTAAGAAAATGTCTTGAAAATGAAAGCCTATTTCGCTAAAATTGAAAGCGCGACCTATTTTACACTACTAAAATACTAACTGTTGATCTTCTGCTATAATCACATACCCGATAGAGATTGTCTTTTGACTATTAAATGCAATATCATCAAGATATGAGAAGACGTAGGGCAAGTGCAGTAGTAGTTGAACTTAGAAAATAATTCATTACAAGTATCAAACTCTTAGACACTATATTGGACGAAGAAAGAATAAAAACACTGAAATAAAACATTTTGATGATCGCTCTCAGTATCATTCATGCCTTTGAAAGTGCAGGTATTAAAACGAGCAGATTCAGGGGCGTAAGTCAGGTCTCAGAGCAGGAGGGGGGGGGGGGGGGGGGAAAGGGTATTTTTTGGTTT